TCTTGCAATTACATTTTTCTAAATCAAGAATATAGACTACTAGTATCCTTTTCAAACCAAATGATTCTGAAGAGCCTGTTGTTATCAAGCTCTTATACCCCACATACTCATTAAATAAGTTACTAGTGACCTAGTTATTTCTGTTACTTGAAGCAAATTATATTTCTGTAGATTTAGACAATAGTATAATATTGTTTTACTAGTTTTATTTCACCTTGAAGATTAGACAAATAGGGATACTCCTTTGATTTTTTATTTCATGTCAGTCAGGTCGCTTTATATGAAACTTGAAACCACTTCTCTGCCATATTGTTATTTCATAACAACTCTGCCCTTGACCATGTTGACCCATGTAATTGATATTCATTCTATAACCATATATCATAGTCAGTTAGTTTTTGATTTTGCACTCCCACACCACCTTTCAGGTCAAATGTCTGTCTCCATTTAAGTTAATGACATTGAACAATCATGGTTTTAACACAATTCCAATAGTCAAGCGGCAAAATCTATCACCAGAAATTACAAGTCAAGAGAGGATGGACGGGATACGTCTCTAAAATGCTTGCCTACCTGGAACTACAACAAGATCTCCAGACAAGGCGAACAAGGAGTTGAAGCCAGAAGTTAATATTTATGTAAAAAGTAGTTGAGGGGCTGATTCCCGCTATTGAACCATACTGTCATTCTATAATATTATTGCGTAAGTATTTCTGTATTGTCCTTGTTATTGGTCCATGTCTTGGTGTATTGGTCTGAGGCGAAGCCGAAGGCCAATACTGCTGGCCGAGGACCAACAATAAGGCCAATACAGAAATACATGTAATAGTATCTTTATTAATTAACTACAGTGTTACAATATTTTTTTTATTTCATTTCACAAGAGATAAACATTTTTACCTTGAAGTGGAACTATCCAAATCTCAGTTTCTTTTTATAAGATGCAATATCTAATGATTTGGTGCCGTTTCCATGCATCTTCAGCCTTTTCTCATCTGATGAATTTTTCTACCCTTTCCAGTCACTATAAAGTGTTACAACTTTAATTTAGACACAACACATAAATAGTAATTGGAAAGGTACTGCCATTGCATGTGTAATGCAAATATATTTAAAAAAAAATAATGTAAGAGTTGAAATTGATACAACTATCCATAAGCCAATTGACCAAAGAACGAAGATTTGCGCAATAACAGAATGCATATGCCTGGTTCGGGCTTAAAAATAAAAGACCGTTTACAAAACATGAGAAGCGAAAGTGAACAGTAAAAATCGACATGATGAAATTATGAGGTCGTCAAGAAATGAACTTTGTGATAATTTACTCGTTCCCTAAACCTGAAATATTTCCATCGTCTACTTTCAAAATGCTTTTCAAATGAATGGGACCGTCTTTAACCTAAAATATATGCCATACTGAACGTTTCAGCTTGTTTATGGTGAGTAAATAAAAACTGCGTCGTACAAACAACTGTTTACTTTCAGTTTGAGTTTATCGTGACTTACGATCTAAAAACTAGAGACGTTCCGAAATCCTGTTTTGGCCGGATCAGAACTCGGCCAATACGGAAAAAAAATCTGTATTGGCCGAGTTGACGTCTTAAATTGCATATGCAGTTTTCATCATTTTAAGTACAATAACAGTGTAGTTAATTAATAATGATACAGTTACAGACTCTGCTGCTATAACTTTGTGAACAAAGATTCATACGCACCGCGTGGGTATAACCGTATTACTAATTTCCGATTATTAAAATCTTCGTAAATCTTGATAAAGACCAGTTTCTATCCAATGGATATCAAAATGATTCCGATTATTACTTTTTTAATGATTGTAAAGTTGAAATGGCATGAAAGGCTGACATTATTTAGGAGAACTATTTTGTCTAGCGATTGCTGATCATTGGAGGGTAAAAAGTCCAACACCATAACAAAACGGATCTATTTATCATGTATACATACCGATTGTTTACGATTGTAAGACATGTGCATAAAAGTGAAAGCTCGAATAAATATGAAAAATATAACAAAGGGATAGCTCCAAATACCATTTAATAACAAAAAACATATGGACAGGTCAAGATATCTTTTTGGTAAATAAAATAACGTATGTAAACTGGTTCCAGTCCGACTACAACACTTTAACAAAGACTTTGTTCGAGTGTAGCGTAATACAAGCAGATTCTAGTTAGTATGTAAAATAGTAAATATGAAACCGAGTGCGGTAGGCGGAGGCATAATCAACTTCCGTTAGGTCTGGTCAATGGTATCGGAAACATGCCGCTGATAGCGTCATTTTACAAAAACTGTAAATTGACCACTGAACCATGAAATGAAATAAAGGTCAGGTACACTGTCTGAAATGATTCTATGTAATAAATATAGCTGACCTATTATGGTAGTTATAATTATGTATAAGGAATGAATTATTATGTTAATTGATTTTTCTCTGAGTGATTATGTCGTCTTTAACTAAATCCATTGGATGTGTACTGATTGATATTTTAGTCTTGTATACCAGATTTTTTATAAGTAATTATTGGCTTTGAACTGGTTTCAGTAACTGCGAGTACTTTCATATTGATATTTTGTGTTCAAGGGTAGTATCTTTGATTAGCTTGCTTGCTAGCTGAACCATGAAATCATTATTAGCTAAGGTACTACCTTCTTTTGGGTGGAGTCAATAGTTAAGCAGGGAACCAATCAAAAGTAGGAACAATATATAAATATTGTGAAACAGTTTTTCAAGTTGGTTCAAAAATATGTTTTCAGGTTGTAGGCGTGTTTGATTTGTCAATTTCATTTCAATCAATTACCTCTGTTCATTGGTAACTAGATTGTTTACATGTGTAATTCTATATACCATTCTGAATTAATCTATTAAAAAAAACTTTCATATCCTTATTATATATGTAAGGATATCAGTATCTTTGAGTATGATGTGTATTTTTTTTTTGGGGGGGGGGGGGGTGGTTTGCTACAGAAGGTGTAAAAATAAACTTAGTCTGGTCATCTTTGAGATGTTCCTCTCACCATGCTTTGTAAAAATGGCATTGTATTGTTTTGATTATAATGAAATTGACAAATCAAACACACCTACAACATGCTTGTGAATTAGCTTTTTATTGACACTATATTTTACTTCTCAATTTAGATTGAAAACATTTATTTTCTACACCGGTTGCAATGTCCTTACTTTTGATTGGTTCAGTCTACTTAACTATAATAATTGACTCCATCCAAAGGAAGGTGGTACCTTAACTAATAATGAATTCACGGTTCAGCTAGCAAGCAAGCTTACCAAAGATTTTACCTTTACCTACACACTCAAGTCATTGTGCTGTAGTTGTTTCTCTGTATTTGTATGTACCTGTCCCAAGTCAGGAGTTTGTAATTAGTGGTTGTCACTTGTTGCTGTATATCATATTTGTTTTCCCTTTTGTTTTGTACTTTTGTTCATAGATGAGGTCATTAGTTTTCTCGTTTTACATGTCATGTCAGGACTTTTATAGCTTACTATGCCGTATGGGTTTTGCTCATTGTTGGAAGGCTATACAGGTGATCTATAGTTGCTTACATCTATATCATTTGGTCTCAGGTTGAAAGTTGTCTCATTGGCAATCATACACATCTTATTTTTATGTTAAATGGCAAATAACTTTTGAACTTGTCAAATAAAATCTACCAAGTGCACATGTTCGTGTATTAGTATAAAGTATAAAATAGTCAATCAATTATGTATAAACAAATCATATATAAAAGAAGGCATACATTTTACTGATGACCCACTAATTTATCCAAAGGTTTTAAAAGTTAGAGAACAGAAACAGTTTGCATACACACATACAGTGGTGGCTCAGTTGAACTATGTTTTTGGCCATTACTTTCTTCCTTGTACAAGACACAATCTAGTAGTTGTGAATATTAATGACAAGTTTCAGTATGCAACTGACAGGTGTTTTGAACGTTAATAAAGAGAGCAGAAATGATTTGTGACAGACAAGCTGATTACTATAGACCTTCCACTGATCTATCATCAGGGGGCCCAATTATTGGTGTTTAACCTGTAAGGGCAAATAATACATGCATATCAGGATGAAAATATATTAACATGATATGAAAAGAACCCTGTTTTGTACTTGGCAAACATGCTAGTTCACAAAGTAACAGTCTGCAGGAAGGCATGTCACCCTATCTGAGCATCATAGACTTTACTCTTAAACTTAAAATGCTGCATGCTTGGCAGAGAAGCAGCAAATATCAATTTTCTATTTTGTTTTTGTTTGACCCAATCTTGGATCAAAACCAGGATTCCTGCACTCTCAGCATGCTAAAAGACCCCCAAGGCAGTAAACTTAGGAAGACAACTGATCACTGGAGCTTGAAATAAAGGCCAAGACATACTACCCTCATACCATTGATTGTTGGTTGCTTTATGTCCACTGGCAAATATGTCATACATGTTCATGAAGATCCTCAATACCAATCAACATACCAAATATCAATACCTTATCATGTATAGTTACTTAGCAGTCTGCACCAGTCACTATTCCGATGCCCTCAACTAGTAAAATTTTATTCGGACTAGTAAGTATTTGCAAAACTTTGTTTAGACACACAAGAAAAATATCCCAATATTGGTCTCGGACTAGTAGTTGGAAAAAATTTTGGTGCAGACTGCTTAAGAACAGCTCTAATCCTGAAAACTAAATCTGACCTTTGGATAATGAAAATGAGGTCAAAAGCAAGGCAGTGATGTGCAAACAAGATGCAATCATCATCTATACAATTATTTATCAACTTGCTGAAATATGAAATAAAACATTGAGATTATTTGTAACTGTTGCAAAAGAGTAACATCTATGTCTAATATACTGCATGTTTTTGTAGCAGTAGCGATATAAATTTTCTTGATGGTTAATGTGCTGTCTGTATTGGGACTTCAGATTTTACAATGAATTGATTGTTAGAATTGGTGGAATCTATAAACAACAAATAAATGGAGCGTTTTTATATTTTATTCTACATCAAAATAATGATTTTTGTAATGTCAACAATGAACAACGAAATCAATTGATGCATAAACAAAGCATTGTCGGACAATATCTTACAATTTTATATACACGATTACAGTACAAATGTTTTAAATGGACGTTGATGTCTGAAATGAATGTAATAAATATGATCTTGTAAATGAACATTATTAAATGCTTGGGATTTCAGATATTTTTGAATCTTTAGCATTCAACGGAGTTACACACTGTTAAACAGTTTAAAATGACCAAATACAATAAAAAAACTGAACAATAAAATCTGTTATACAGTCAACTTCATTCAAATCTTCTCAACTTTTACTTAATACCATAAAGTAAATAATTTACACAGAGTTTAAATTAATTGATTTGTTGGGCCAGTTTTTCTTTAGGGGATATTTTCATTTTATCTTAAATGCAAAACTAGCAATAAAAAACTCGGGGAAAATTACCCACTTTATTTATAGTAAGCAATTTAAAAACATAACCTTTAAAATACAACACTTGTTTTAAAATAATTTCTTGATATTAAAAAATTCTCCTTATTTTCAAGAAGAAATCAAGATCTAATCTTATTGATCTACAAAAATAAATAAATAGCTTCATTTTATTCAATTATTTACATTAAAATTACTTGTCCATTTAATACAGAGAAGACATTTGATAAACATCACTGTAAGCAACATCGTACAATGTATGAAATTACATTGCTCACCACTGATAAATTTATTGTGGAGGAAATAAAACCTTTCCTCAGAATGTTTTTTACCTGGCCATTTAATTTTTTTGCAAAGAGGACTGTCCCATTGGATTAATATTGTTCTCTGTGGAGTTTATTCAATGAGAACTTTAAATTTCTCCTTGAAAAACCAATCATTCATTCATTAATTTGGCTGTATAAAAAATAGTCTTAGTTACGAGCCTTGTCTCACCAGTGGGCCCCTTATTTTAAATCCTGAATATGCATCTGATAAGGTTAAACATGTCTATCACTTCTGGGGCATGCTTAGAATTTTTACAATAATGGAGGGAACACTTACCTAATAATTTTGTTTTTGAAATGTTTACTGGTTCATGAGGTAGGTTCATAGCAGAAGCAAAAGATACCTGAGAAACTAAGCATTTGTTTCTTTTATGCTTAAATTTCATAACTATTTGACCATTGCCAAACAGCCACAGTTACAATAGTGTGTCCGTGTAATTTATTTACGGGGGTAAAATATGAAGGCCCAAGGTCCTGAATATAAATATTGTTTCAAAATAGTCCAATTATTTTTATGGAAATACGACCAAAGAGTAAATATATTTTTATATTTAATCTAATGTCTACAAATATTTAACTTTACAAAGGAAGACAACAAAATTTATGATTGAAAGATACAAAACCTTTTACAAACAGAACAAATTTGACCCCAAAATGCCCTTGAAGATGCAAAAATATGATCTCATTTTAATGATATATCCCTTTGTTTGATCATTTCTGTTGACTGAACCAAACGGTATGCCATTTAAAACTGAGTAATGAATGTCTATGGTAGCTGTTTTATACTCATAGTAGCTGCCATTTTTCTGTTTGTATGCTGGTTTAATAAAATTGCACAATTTGTATTCATGTCTTCTTTGGTCTGCCTCTCTTTTTTGTCTGAAAATTTAAATAACAAATATGTACTATAATAAGAAATGTTCTTACAGAAGTCTAATTTACTGACATATAACCAAACACAAATTGTGATAAATCAAAAGATAGAAATTAATTACAGGCAATAGTAGTAGTCTACAGATGCTCAAATCTTATAAATCCATTAGGAAGATACAATTAAAAAAAATCAAACTTTGGGAATGGCATGTATTCCAAAATGAGTGAATTCGGGTGCATGGACAGGGTATATCTTAATAGCAAAAACTTCTTTTAATCTTCTTACTGTAAGAACCCTTGTTTTAATACTGACTGCTATTAGATAAAATATCATAATTTTAGTTCAACACTGGAATAAATTATTTTTTTAACTTGTTAAAAATATCATGTTGCAATTCTTGGCATCATGTTTCAATTTGTCTGAAAAAAAAATAATATTTTGTAATTTTTGTTTATAATTTGAAAGCAATATATCCTCGTCTCATGGGTTTTCATGCTATTAAGAATGTACATGTATTGTGACATCACAATTTCCATTGAAAAAGCATGCATAGTACGAATTCCTATGACGTATGAAAACATAACCTGACCATAATACTTACACTATCAGGTGTCTGTACTTTAGTTTTGATACGTATTGATGTCCCTGATTTAGGTGTTGATGCAGCTGATGATGTTTCCTGACTATCACCATCAGACACTCCATTTGGCAAATTTTTACCTTTCCTCCTAAAAAAAAAAAACATCACTTAATGTAATAAAATTTGAATAAATATCTGATTTGAAGAAGTCAATAAAACAAGAGCAGTGATTGGATTGCTTGATTGGTTGTCCAGTTAATGTCCAGTAGCAAATATTTCACATATGCTCAAGACAAGAACATATTAACAAAAAATACAATTGTTAGGTTCTTCAAGGTAAGGGTCATCTTGGATGGATGGAGGAAATTTAAACTGCCACTGGAAAGTAGGAATATAATGGATAGGGACAGAAATTTTGCCTTAAAACAGGCTACCTATGGAACATAGTTAGTGCATAAGTTCTTTAAGGTGCAAAGGTCATGGCACTCTCTCTACAAGTGTTTCTTGTTTTTTATATAGATTAGAACGTTGGTTTTCCTGTTTGAATTGTTTTACACTAGTCATTTTGGAGCCCTGTATAGCTTGCTGTTGGATGTGAGCCAAGGCTCTGTGTTGAAGGCCGTACTTTGACCTATAATTGTTTACTTTTTATACATTGTGACTTGGATGGAGAGTTGTTTTATTGGCACTCATACCACATCTTCTTATTTATAAATATACTTGTGTTTGTCTACTTACACATTTTTGGGAGCTGATTTAACATTGAACTGGTCAAGTCTTGTCTGTTTTGATGCTGTTTTTCTGACATTTTTTTTAGTTTTGTCCTCTGGAGGTGATTCGTCGGATTCTCCATCAGATCTGTTTAACTTACTCCTAGTTATTGTTGTTCTGTAAAATATTTACATAATCCTCAAAATAAGTCATCATTAAAGATAGTCAGTTATGATCGATTGATTATTAGTTGTTAAACATCATTAAAGATAGTCAGTAATGATCGAGTGATTGTTAGTTGTTAAACATCATTAAAGATAGTCAGTAATGATCGATTGATTATTAGTTGTTAAACATCATTAAAGATAGTCAGTAATGATCGAGTGATTGTTAGTTGTTAAACATCATTAAAGATAGTCAGTAATGATCGATTGATTATTAGTTGTTAAACATCATTAAAGATAGTCAGTAATGATCGAGAGATTGTTAGTTGTTAAACATCATTAAAGATAGTCAGTAATGATCGAGTGATTGTTAGTTGTTAAACATCATTAAAGATAGTCAGTAATGATCGATTGATTATTAGTTGTTAAACATCATTAAAGATAGTCAGTAATGATCGAGTGATTGTTAGTTGTTAAACATCATTAAAGATAGTCAGTAATGATCGAGTGATTGTTAGTTGTTAAACATCATTAAAGATAGTCAGTAATGATCGATTGATTATTAGTTGTTAAACATCATTAAAGATAGTCAGTAATGATCGAGAGATTGTTAGTTGTTAAACATCATGAAAGATAGTCAGTAATGATCGATTGATTGTTAGTTGTTAAACATCATGAAAGATAGTAAATAATGATCGATTGATTGTTAGTTATATTTTAACAACATTATTGGCTCTATCATGGTGGTGTGTTTTTTATTGCAGAAGGAAGCCAAAAAGCACACAGAGAATAACTGAGCTTTGGCAGGAAAAATGATAATCCTAGTCAATAAAGATTGGATTCGGAAACATCTGCCACATGAGCTCACCACCTCAATGTTCACTGGCCTGTGATACAGAAGATCAATTATTTAAACCAGTCGGCTACAGAGGGCCTATAGCTATTGTTGTTCTGTAAAATATTTCCATAATTAGCCTGATATCTCTGTATTATTTAAACAATAAATTGTAGGACCCTACCAATAATAGTTCAATAACAAGCAACTAATTTATTACATGACAATCATTTAGTTTCAGATGACCGAAAATTTGTAATTTCTGACAAAATGGAATTGAAAATGTTTTTCAAAATTTAATCTGATCTAATTTTGGCAATTGTCATATCTATTTAAAATTGGACATGCCTGGAAAATAGGAGTTTCCAGATCCTTGTCTGGTAGCAGTCTTTCATGCAAATACAAATACAAATATGAATACGATTACTTTATACATATAAATGCAATTAAAGGGACCGTTTCCGAGTATATACATATATATTATATTATTTATATGGTAATTTTAAGATATATTTCATTGAAAATAAATGATAAATCATGTAAGCTTACTTTTTTAAATTATGCGGGGATTTCTTTGGAGTAGATTTTGATGAAGATTTTACAGATGATGCAGATGATTTTGTTGATGACCTCCCTGGTGAACTTGGTGTAGATGATTCACTCACAGACGGACTGAGATTCTTTAAGGCAGGACTGCAAAATTCAATAATCATTGAAATTATATAGAAAAACTTTTAAAAGGAAAATTCATAGAGGAAACCCCCATTACAAATGGCAAAATCAAAAGCTCAAACACATCAAACGAATGGAAAATAACTGTCATATTTTTGACTTGGTACTTGCATTTCTTTTTGTAGAAAATGGTGGATTAAACCTGGTTTTATAGCTAGCTAATCCTCTCACTTGTATGACAGTCAAGTGAAATTTCATTATATTGACAATGATGTGTGAGCAAAACAGACAGACATAATTTGTAAAAATGTCAAAAAATGGACAGATTAATAACAAATAAATCAAAAATAAATGAGGAATGTGTCCATGGGACACAGATGATGCCCCCGCTTGCATATCATATAGTTTTAAAGGGACATAACTGACGAACAGTAAAAGTGACGCTACCCATATTTGTACTTGATCTGAGTTTTGATGTAATAAGTATTGTGTATAAGTTTCATAACATTTGGTTGAGGCAAACTTAAGAGAACAGAAACGAAAAATTTAGCAATTTTTCCATTTGTAAAGGGCATAACTCTAGAACAGTTAAAGTGACACCACCAAAATTCAAACTTGATCTGTATTTTGTGGTAATAAGCATTGTGTATAAGTTTCATAACATTTGGTTGAGGCAAACTAAAGTTAGAGAACGGAAACCAACTTTGGGACGTACGTACGGACAAACAAGGGTAAAACTTAATGCCCCCTCTGCTACGGCGGGGGCATAACAAAGAATGTTGTAAGCTCCATGAAATATTTGCATTAATTTTTGCCATATGAGTTAATGAGTCCTTTAATGAACAAGCTCACATATTATGGTCCCCTTTCTAGCAGATTTTTCATATTAAACTCATCCTTTTTTTGAGTGGAGACCTTTATAATCTTCTTTGGAAGAGGATCAAACAAGAAACAAAGGCAATATCCTAGGGACCACAAAGTGATGATGCATGAAAGGTTTAAACATCTGCTTTTCTGTCAAGTGAGTATGAAAATGTCAATGAACAGTATCCACACAACTAAATACTCACGTTAACTTTGATTTTTTTACAGGTGTACTTTCTTTGGAAACACTTTCAGTCTTTCGCTTCCTTGCACTTCCTGGCTTTGGAGAATCTGAAGTTCTAACTGTGGAATCTGTTTTTGCACCATTCATTAATGACTTAGATTTCTGAAGTGTGTCAACTTTTGAAGTCCTCACATTTGACTTAGAATTTTTATCACTAACATTTTTAGCCTTTTTTGTTTTAGGTCCTAATGGAATTTCCTGTGATTCCTGCGACTCAGAATTAGCCACTGAACTATCATCATCTTCATCACCGTCTGATTCTTCAGTGTCCATTGATTTTGGCACATTTTTACCTGAGGTTTTTGTTTGTTTTTTGTTACGCACTTTTGCTGTTTTAGGTTCTTTGTTTTCATCCTTAGTGTCAGTATTAAGTTTTCGTTTTTGTGGTTTTTTCTTGTCCACATTTTTCCCTGAATCATTTTTCTTCACAGAATCAGCACTAGAATTCGGTGAACTTTCAGTTTCAGAACTGTAAACATGTAAAACAGAAAATATTGTATGTATGAATGTTATGTGGTATATATGTCTTTAACTACTAAGAAGTCCATCTAAACTTGTAAACAATTTCTTATACAATTAAAGGTTTGAATAATTGTTTCTATCTACATGATCTACATCTAAATTTATACAAACCCTTAACTATAAATAGTACAAATGTTTGATATTCAATTTTTGTTTTCCCCAATGGTAAAAATGTATAAAAACATGTGTTTACAGCTACTTTGTAATACTACAAATTTGAAATATTAATGTTGTTTGCTAAGTTTTTTCAGTAAAAGATGGACGCCATTTAACCAAGATCAGTACAAGAAAAACATAATTATCACCTTATTGCTTTATTGGTTATTGTAGTTGCTGTATAAGTTCTGACAACACAATCAGCTAATTATTAAACTCTGTCATTTTCCAATCATTATCACGTGACACGATGTAAACTCCAGAGAAACTATTTTTATGAACGGAAATATAAATGTTAACGAAATGAAAAAGACAACCTCCATGGTCGAAAATAACAAAATAATTTGGCTAATTTATTTCACTTTATATTTCTTTTTATGCCAACTTAGGAATTATCTACAACAACATGTCCAGTACTTTCTACACTCCTGGAGTACACACTTAACATTGGGTTTCTATCATAACATGTGCAGATGGCCGGAAATATTGCAATCCTAACAACAGGTTTCTATGACAACATGTCCAGTACTTTCTACACTCCTCAAGTACTCACCTAACATCAGTTTTCTTTGTTTTTGGTTGTCTTTGTTCCCTGGGAGATATAGGAAGTGGATTGACCACTGGTCCAGGACTCTCCACTATTATCTCTGTTGTCTGACCCTTACTTGTGTTAGCTTTTCCTGATGTATCTATCAAGGCATTTACGCCTTTCCTCTACAATAGAAATATATTAACCACTTTTAGGACAACATATACAAATATATATATAAATTATCTGTCAAAAGAACTGTATAAAGATTTATTTGTACCTTCAGAAAACTTGAGACAAAAAAGGCTTTCCAAACTTTTAAAAGAAATCTCTTAAAGAGTAAGTGTACGTGTCTGTTAAGTTGAAATTGGAGAGCAACCTTATTTTTCAATCCTTAATTTATACATTTTAAATACTTCACTGATAGTGATGACCAGTGAGAAGCTGTCTGCTTTCCATATGGTAAATGGAATAATCTTACAGGCAATGAGTATGTAGGCAACTTAATCCAAAATAGACAAAACTGTATGTGTACATTTTATATATTTTATGACCTTCAAATGTAATAATCTTACAGATAATGATTTAAGACAACTGAATCCAAAAAATAGACAAAACAGTATGTGTATATTTTATATACCTTATGGCCTTCAAATGAAAAGTCTTTAGGTAGATAATTCTGTGTATTGCTGTAACTCTGAAAGAAATATGTTTGTATATACTGTTTAAGTAGGTAGGTAGGTATGGTTCAATTCTGAATAAAAGTTAAAAGAATATTTCTCATCATGTAAGTAAGCATTGTTCCATTAAATAAAACAAGCAAACATCAAAAACACATATAAATCATTTCCATGGATAACTGCCTATACAAAATTGTTTTTAGACTCCTATTAGCAGTCAACTGTATAGTTTTGTACTGAAGTTGGAAAGAAGCATGTTTGTCTGTATATAGAATAACCACAAATTGTCTTGGAATATACACTGAAAATGAGATTTATTGATGAATGGCTGCTTTCCGTTTCATGCGAAATATTACACAGATGTTCAAAATAAGAACATATTTAACTATCAGACATGCTTTATACTTATGTTGTTGAACCTATATGTGGTTAGATTTTGTACTTCCTGTACTTCAATTGAAACCGCGAAACTGTTGATTTTACCTTTTCATGATCATTAACATAATAATATCATAAAAACAAAAACTTGAACTTGTAGTTACATTACTCAACATATAACTATACTTAATGTTATGGTACTCAACATATTAACTCTAAATTTTGTTACAGTACTCAACATGTGACTAGACCTAATGGTTTAGTACTCAACATATTAACTCTACATTTTGTTACAGTTCTCAACATATAACTATACCTTTTGGCTTTCCTGTTTGAATTGTTTTACACTAGTCATTTTGAGGCCCTTTATAGCTTGCTGCTCAGTGTGAGCCAAGGCTCCATGTCGAAGGCCGTACTTTAACCTATAATTGTTTACTTTTTACACATTGTGACTTGGATGGAGAGTTGTCTCATTGGCACTCATACCACATCTTCTTATTTCTACTTATGTTACATTGCTCAACCTGTAAGTATGCCTTATGTTGCAATACTCAACATGTAACTTTACATTATGTTTTGGTACTCTACCTTTAGTAACAGTACTCAAAATATAACCAGTGTTACAGTACTCAACATATACCTATACCTTATATTACAATACTCAACATATTAACTCTATCTTATGTTACAGTGCTCAACATATAATCATACCTTATATTACAATACTCAACATATTAACTCTATCTTATGTTACAGAGCTCAACATATAATCATACCTTGTCTGGTTTAGTGAAGTGTTTAGCCGATAACCTTGGTTCAACAGTGACATCTTTAAGAGTAATGTTACCACTTTTACTATTCAGTAATCCCAAAGCCACATCACATACAGCATATAGTTTCTGAAATAATAAATAACACCATATAATATCTGAGTCACATCACATAAAGCATAGTTTCTGAAATGAATAAAATTACACCATATAATATCATATAGCCACATCACTCTCTGTATTGCATGAACTTTCCAAAATAAACAATAATATAACAGATTAATTCAGTGCCACATCCCATACAGCATCAATCTTAAACAAATATAAGGCCTAAAATAAAATGAAAATTGTATGATGTTGCCAACCAGCAGACAACTTTTTTAAAAATTTTATGACACATATCTTTTCAATTTTGTTTTTAAAGTTTTTTTCATACTCTAACCTTGTTTTCTTGTCTAAAACATGTAACTAGTGCTGATGGCCAAAAAATAATAATCCTGACCTACCTACCCAACCCTACAAGACATGTGTAGGCAACATCAAACAAAGAATTTGCACAGAAACAACAAAAAGTGCCATTTTCTCCTAAACACCAAATGTGAAAATGGTCAATATCAAACTAGACCTCTATTTTGTCATCAGTAGCAACATATTTAAAAAATCTAAAATGCATTGGTTGAACAGTTCATAAGTTATTGCATGGAAACTGTTGGCATACGTCTCCATCTTTAAATACTAGATTTTTCCTTCAGAAAACCCAGTTAAAAATTTACCCACTACAACTTAACATACCATATTTGTTTCTTCATCATCCGGATCCTGAGCATCTTTTGTCTGTTTAATATTCTCTATCATTCGTCTGAAGAATGTGTAATTATAGTCCTCACTCTTACTGATCAAAGGCTCCATATTAAACCACAGACATCTGAAAAATAATATACCAATTTGAGTTCCATAACAGGAGTTCATACATTAATAACACTGAGATTGATTGACTCATTAATCAAATAAAATATGTATGGTTCACATGTTCCTAGTATATGTAACTAATTTACATGCAGAATATTTTCAACCATAACCTGACCAATAAAACATGAATTTCAGGTCATGGTCATATGACATATAACAGATGGACATATACTCCTTTTGCCAAAACCATATACCACATATTGATGAGGGGTAAAGTGACTTATGGACAGATCTCATCCTGAAAACTCAACTTGACCACTGAAGGGTGGAAATAATAACTCATGATGATCTACCTCCATAAAAATTGTTGTCCTCCTAAGTGAAAGTTGGGACAAGATACTAATGTTATTTGTAAAGTGTTAACACAATGGATGTGACCAAGGGTCCGGAAACAGTCATATTTGCCAGTCATGTACTAAACTGAAAGCCATTTGTCCTAAACGGCAGATTGGGATTTAGGACAAATTAATTTTTTTTAAAGAAATAATTTCCATCATTTCATTGAAATCGGGTTTCTTTATTGCCATTTTGTACTTTTTTTTGTTTTGTAATCCCTTTCCTGTAATAAAACTGCCACTCTATACTGTATAGTATGATAGTCCTGAGGGCCCTCCCAATAACCATATTAATGCCTCTGGGAAATATTGGCTAATGATCCCTAATAACTTTTTACCTGTCAGTGATCACAAGCTCAGAACTAATATTATAAAGAAATTAAAATTCTATGACAACTTTCTTCATTATTTAATTACTTTTCAGCAAAGGCTATCGGCAATTCTGATTTTAAATTAAAACTTGATTTAGTTTACATAGAAAAAAGTAATTATTCACGAGTCAAACATGTGCTTTATTTACTATGTAATACGCATGCATGAAATTGTCTTCACCATATTAGACAATCATAAAATACAAAATTATTTCATGCTAAATTAAACGAATGCAACTATTATCTGTTATATTCAAACACATTTAAAGGTTATAAAATTAAAAATCCTGTGACTTCCTGTCAATTTGATAAACAGAACGAATCCCGGAAATGAATCTGGAATTACTCATACTTTAGGATTGTCATGAAGCTTCTGGTTTTAATTTCATCTTCAAATTTGAAAGAAACATGAGCAATGTCTGAGAAATTTACCATTTGAGTCATTAAAATCAATTCAATTTTAAACTGTTGCATTCCATTAACCGTTCTTGAACGTTTTTCAGAGAAAAACGGTAAGAAAATTCATGCAGTAAATGCGATGAAACAGTCAACACAAGTTCGTTGATGCTATGAATCTAGTGTGAATAATTTCGACAGTTTGAAAAAGGGGCTCAATTTTTAAGTCATCTTAAGTCATCTCAAAATGACAGAAATTGTGTAAAAAAAATTCCTGATCCTTGGATGTGACAAACTCTATCTGTTGGGATGTTTATATATTGAACTCTGTAATGGCAAAAAATTTCATACTATTTAAAAATACAATGGAGCTGATTAGGACAGAAAAGACAGTTGGTTAAAAACGGGTCAAAATGTCATTGTAGAACCTTTAGTAATACCAGATCCTTTAACATTCTATGTGTAAATATTAACATAAAAACTTGATTATTGTTAAAGCTTTATTTATTAATACTAGAATGTCAAGAATCAGATGATTCTAAAAAATTTCCACTAGTAAATGACTGGAAGAAGTAATTTCTGGAATTTTACAAAATCCAAAGGCCAAGTAAAATCCTTGATACTTACTCTTTAATATTTTTAAGAGGTTCTACATCATCATGTTCCTTTAGTTCAGGGTCATGTGCCAGTAAATGTATGGCATAGGGCATCACATAGTCTGGTAAGAAATGGAATATTCTTCCTGAAATACATTTTAATTGAACATTATTAATTTTAATTGAACATTGTTACTTTTAATCGAACATTATTATCTTTAAACATGAAAATAAATTCTACTATTAGAGAAAGCATTGCCCACATAATTTATTTAAACTTTTAAACAGTGGTTCAACGCAAATAAAACTAGAGGCTCTCAAGAGCCTGTGTCGCTCACCTGATTCTACTTTGGTTTTGGAAATCATGTAAAAATAGATTAAAATCATAACAGATACCCTAATAATGAGTGAGGCCAAATTAGGTTTAATATTGGTCCTGTAATTTAATAAAAAATCCTGGTGGCCATCTTGAACAGTAAATCGGCAACAAAGTAGCAACACTTAATCAGCACCTCATAAGAAACATTTATGCCATGTTTTGGTTTCATTCCATTCAGTGCACCTCTAGAAGAAGCATTTGTATGTATTTCCCATAGGGTCTTATGTTAAAGGAAGTCCCCCCATTGGCGGCCATCATGGATGAAGGATCAGCTTCAAAGTAACAAAACTTAGTCAGCACCTCATAAGGAACATTCATGCCATGTTTGGTTTCAATCCATTCAGTATGTGGTTCTCTATAAGAAGACATTTGTATGTATTTTCCATAGGGTCCTTTGTTAAACATTGTCCCCATCTGGCAGCCATCATTGATGAAGGATCAGCTTCAAAGTAACAACACTTGGTCAGCACCTCAAAAGGAACATGCATGCCAGGTTTGGTTTCATTCCATTCAATGGTTCTCTAAAAGAAAACATTTGTACGTATTTCTCATAGGGTCCTATGTTAAACTAAGTCCTCCGCTGGCGGCCATCTTAGATTATGGATCGGCTTCATAGTAACAACACTTGCTCAGCACCTCATCAGGAACATTCATGCCATGTTTGGTTTCATTGCATTCAGTGGTTCTCTAAAAGAAGACATTTGTATGTATTTCCCATAGGGTCCTATGTTAAACTAAGTCCCCCGCTGGAGGCCATCTTGGATGATGGATCAGCTTCAAAGTAACAACACTTGGTCAGCACCTCATAAAGGAACATTCTTGCCATGTTTGGTTTCATTCCATTCAGTGGTTCTCTAAAAGAAGACGTTTGTATGTATTTCCCATAGGGTCCAATGTTAAACTAAGTCCCCCACTGGCGGCCATCTTGGATTATGGATCGGCTTCAAAGTAACAACACTCGGTCAGCACCTCATAAGGAACATTCATGCCATAGATATAAGAAGATGTGGTATGAGTGCCAATGAGACAACTCTCCATCCAAGTCAAAATTTATAAAAGTAAACCATTATAGGTCACAGTACGGTCTTCAACACGGAGCCTTGGCTCACACCGAACAGTAAGCTATAAAGGGCCCCCAAAAAATTACTAGTGTAAAACCATTCAAACGGGAAAACCAATGGTCTAATCTATATAAAAAACGAGAAACGAGAAACACTTATGAACCACATCAACAAACGACAACTACTGAACATCAGATTCATGACTTAGGACAGGTGCAAACAAATGCAGCGGGTTTAAACGTTTTAATGGTACCAAACCTTCACCCTTTTTCTGAAACAATAGTGTAACATCACAACATAGAAAGACACACTATAAAATATCAACTGAAATAGCTTAACTCAATCAAAGGACATATTAACACCATTGAACATACACTGAACAAATAAATTTGACCTATGACACAATGTAAATACAAAATAAACTAAGGGAAGAATAATAAAAGTAACATGTTATATATGTAAGAAATGTTAAACAATTAAAGAAAAACAATATGCTCGAACAAAAATACCATCCATTTGCAATAACTTTAAACATGTTTGGTTTCATTCCATTCAGTGGTTCTCTGAAAGAAGACATTTGTATGTATTTCTCATAGGGTCCCATGTTAAACTAAGTCCCCTGCAGGCGGCCATCTTGGATTATGGGTCGGCTTCAAAGTAACAACACTCGGTCAGCACCTCATAAGAAACATTCATGCCATGTTTGGTTTCATTCCATTCAGTGGTTCTCTAAAAGAAGACATTTGTATGTATTTCCCATAGGGTCCAATGTTAAACTAAGTCCCCTGCTGGCGGCCATCTTGGATAATGGATCAGCTTCATAGTAACAACACTTGGTCAGCACCTCATAAGGAACATTCATGCCATGTTTGGTTTCATTCCATTCAGTGGTTCTCTAAAAGAAGACATTTGTATGTATTTCTCATAGGGTCCCATGTTAAACTAAGTCCCCTGCTGGCGGCCATCTTGGATTATGGATTGGCTTCATAGTAACAACACTCGGTCAGCACCTCATAGGGAACATTCATGCCATGTTTGGTTTCATTCCATTCAGTGGTTCTCTAAAAGAAGACATTTGTATGTATTTCCCATAGGGTCCTATGTTAAACTAAGTCCCCCGCTGGCGGCCATCTTGGATTATGGATCAGCTTCAAAGTAACAACACTCAGTCAGCACCTCATAAGAAACATTCATGCCATGTTTGGTTTCATTCCATTCAGTGGTTCTCTAAAAGAAGACATTTGTATGTATTTCCCATAGGGTCCTATGTTAAACTAAGTCCCCCGCTGGAGGCCATCTTGGATGATGGATCCGCTACAAAGTAACAACACTTGGTCAGCACCTCATAAGGAACATTCATGCCATGTTTGGTTTCATTCCATTCAGTGGTTCTCTAGAAGAAGTTCAAAATGTAAAAAGTTAACGCAGACAACGGACCACGCCGGACGATGACAGTCAACGGACGCCAAGTGATGAGAAAAGCTCACTTGGCCCTTTGGGCCAGGTGAGCTAAAAACAAGAATATATATGTTCAAAGAAAAGTTTGCATATCAACAAATACATTAACTACACCACCATCCAGCTGCCAGATATATATATATATATATTGATGTATTTCAATCTTGATGCAGATACAATTAGTTCCTATCATAGCTGACAAGTTTACCTATGTATTAATTTTCATCAAAGCCAAGACAAAATGGAACATAATATATCATCCTTTATGGGTTTATTGTTTTGATGTTGTTTTTATTAATGTATACCACATCTCCTTTGATTGTGAACATGAACAGATCTTCTTGGTCCTTTCTCAGTGCTACATGTAAATATTATTTAAATACTTGGGCTCTTTCACACAAATTCTTACGATATATATATACTGAAATGTTCATGACTTGCAAATTTTTTTTCGTGAAATGTGGCTGAATTTGGTTACACACAAATGTTGTGTATAGTTACATACCTTGAATGGATGGATTCTGTTTAATGTATTCCCTTCTCTTTGTGATATTGTTCTGTAGGAATTGTTTGATCTGTGTTCGCCGTTCCCTCATTGGATCGTTAGCCGCCAGACAAAATATTGACATATACTGTAGAGGTAGTCGAAGTGTGAGTAAACTTTTGTGTAATTTTAGAGAGAATATGTGACGTACATGGTAACAGCTATCCTGTAACATATAAGAATATTGTGTAATTTGAGTGCGATTAGTAAACAAACATGGTAACAGACATTCATCTAGGCTTATTTTCATGCATTAAATAACTGCATGTTCAGTTGAAAATATTACAGTTAAATTTCAGGATAATACTTGATAACAGCAGGTTTTCCAATTGTCAAATGTAAAAAAAAACTATTTCCTGCATTTTGAGAATAGTTGTTTAATAAATCTAAACTTTGTGTGATATGTTTTAATTCAATATGGCCATTTGTAAAACAAGAATCTTTTACTGATATTTGTCAAGAGACTGATTGTTCGGAGGTTAATTATGATATCATCTTTAGGAAGTATTGTATACTTTCTTTTACATTACATTACTTACATTCATCAATAAAGCCAGAGCTTGGAACTGTTCATGTGTAATGATATCAGAGAAACGTTTCTCCTCTGCTAATTTGTTCTTACATTCATTAATAAAGCCAGAGCTTGGAACTGTTCATGTGTAATGATATCAGAGAAACGTTTCTCCTCTACTAATTTGTACTTGCATTCATCAATAAAGCCAGAGCTTAGAACTGTTCATGAGTAATGATATCAGAGAAACGTTTCTCCTCTGCTAATTTGTACTTACATTCATCAATAAAGCCAGAGCTTGGAACTGTTCATGTGTAATGATATCAGAGAAATGTTTCTCCTCTGCTAATTTGTACTTACATTCATCAATAACGCCAGAGCTTGGAACTGTTCATGTGTAATGATATCAGAGAAACATTTTTCCTCTGCTAATTTGATCATACAACAACCAGCTTGTAATCTCAGTCTAGCTAATTCTGGTTTACTGAAAGTATAAAAATAAATTGTTTAGGGTTGTTCCTAAAAGCATGGGGCAATGACCCATAATACAAACTTTTCATTTAAGTTATAATTCTTACAAAATTCTACGTGATATGACACCACACACAATTAATTTGTGTGCTTCCCAAGATCCCCATCACAAACTACTTAGGAACAGCCCTGATCTTATTCTGGTTTACAATAAAACATCCCGAAACAATTAAAAGTCTTCTTAACTAACACCATAGCACAAATAACTCAGTTTTACTGCAAAGCACAATTATAAACTTAGGATAACTCTATTCTGGTTAACATCAACACAGTAATGGAATGATTTACTACAAGACATAATGTTACTTACATTTAAAGCTTAATTTTCTAAAGTATATTTAATTTTTGATACTTTATTACAGAGATTCCTGGTGTTGTTGGAAGCAAGAAAATAATCCCAATTCATCTGTGAATGAAAATTCAATATTTATGATGCTTACTTAATATTTCCTTTCTCCATCAGATCTCCTTCGTGAGCTATGACAGTATACAGTAGCCGTAGCGTTGACGTCCCTGAATTGTTGGCATTACTCTTCAGACCTTGTAACCATCTAGTTAATAACTTCATTGATTGTAACTACAAAATAAATTCACCGGTTAAGGTAAAAAAATAATTTGTAACGCATGATAGGTCTTGCAAGTTGACCTTAACCAAAAAACAACCTTAAAACACTTCAGCAATAAGATTTTGTTAAATTTTCTAAAGATTCAAACTCTTAGCTCCTTTTAATGAGCCAATCATTAGGGCTATTCCATTAAAAAGGAGGTACTAGGGTTGGAAGGCAATTTTTAAGTACCCCCATGACCAAGAGGAATGTACCATGTATCTTTAATAACACCAACCAACAGGAGGTCGTTTCATGATAATACAAGAACCAACTGGAATATATCTAACTTATTTTTTACTGGCCCTTCAAAATTGAGAAGAAATTACCTCTTGGAATTGTAGATATATGTATACTCTATAAAAACGTCTACATGTAATATCAACATTTATTAATGATAAAGAAAATTACTGTCACATTTCATTAGATTTTGACATGAAAATTTGTGAACTAAAAGTTATTTTGAGTTTCTGTATAAAATATTTCATTTCTTTACCATATATCTTTTGGTTTTCAATTCAAGTGTTTATATTTCATCATCATAGATGTATTTTGTCACCTGCCTGGAATTATTATTTTTTTTATTTTTTATTTGATCGGCAAAACCGGAATTACCCTTATCCGACCCCTGAATCTGATCCGGTATTGAAATCTTAAAAAGGTCGGCAAAGTTAATTTTTATTTTCTTTCAAATCGAAGGTCTGTCGGGCCTAGCTAGTAATCAAAACGAAAGTCCGATTGCAATAGTGGAAGGTCGTGGACCTCGGATAATTTGAACCTCCGAATATTATTTTCGAATTTGACATCGTTTGTCATGTGCTTGTCATTAAAGTGAAGTAACTCTTGCACTTCCAGAACTGGTACCATAGGTAGAATATAACGTTGCGCCTGCCGCTGCGTAAGTCGTGGGAACAGTTATGTTTTCCAAAATATTACGAAATGAGCAGGAGACAAAAACAATCGGTTATACAAGTCCTTGCAAAAACAAATAATAAATTACGAAAAAAATAACACAATGAAACAGACAGTCACGAAAACTGACTGTCAAAGAAGACCAACAACCAACAATACTTAGTTTCTCTAAACACCAAGGGCCACTGGCCATAAACGCTTCAACACATCAACAACCAACAGGATTTTTTATAATTGCCGTCCGACCCTGGTACATTCTTTTTAATGGAATAGCCCTTATCAAAATAAGGAGAAGGTTGCCAAACACAGAACTATCCATATAAGACCAAAAGATTGATTAATTGTTGTTTGCTGAACGTCCGGAGGTAAATAAATACCTAAAGACAAAGATGTGATAGATTCCTCTGTAACATGATGTTCAGAATACCAACTTACCTTAGCCATAGATTCCTCTGTAACATGATGCTCAGAATACCAACTTTCTGTTGTTGATGGACCAAATGTCTGTAACAAAAATGTAAAGTTCTAAACCCCTGTACATATAATACATTCAAAATGAAACATACATATATGTGAATTCTTTTCCTGTATTGAACAATACCTTTATCATTAAATATGGAAAACCTAAAAAGTAAATATACTTTGGTAGAGACACATCTAAAAGTTCTCAAAGATTAGACACTGGATGAAAGTTAGAACAACTGTTCAAAATATATACTCCTCAGACATTATAGAATTTTTACCAATAAATACAGACCAACATTTTAATATTGACAGAACAGCTTATTCTTGTGAGACACCATCTGGCTTGACATTTCCATGGATTTTAATATAAACAGATAGACCTCTTATTCACTGAGGCACAATATGGCTATATATCTCTATTACTGGTATAGATTATAATAGACAGACTTGCTTATTCACTCAAGGCCTCATTTGGCTATATACCCCCATATCTTGTTCACAATTAAATACTATATACTTACATGGTCTTGCATTAGGAGATCTTTGACAATAACTTTAGAGACTATAGTTTTTATATCAGGAGCAAATTCTTCAGGACAAAGCTTGGCTATGTGTCCTAGTCCTACTATAGCTGTGATGAAGTTTGCTGATTCTGGATTTAGTGACTTCTTATAATGCTATAAATAAATAAAATTGTTCTAATGAGTCAAGCAAAAACCAACTTTGCAATCATCATAAGAATCAGTAAAATCTTAAGCTATGGTTGTCCAATATATCCATTTCTAATGCTAATACATCAAATTACATTTGTCCCCAATACATGAAATGGGTGTCTCTCTTGCACATCAACACAAGTCCTAGCAAATTAGGTTTTTAAGTTCTTTTCTCTCCAGCCATGAAAAGCTTACAAAACATTCTATCTTGTCTCCCTTTATTTTTTTTAATGTGGAAACTACATAAAAATACTACATTTCACATAACTATAGACCCAGGAGAATTTTTCATTTATTTATTATCACTTTCTTTTATAAAACATACAAATGTCAAGGTACTTACCTCAAAGATTTGTCCATAAATAGCTTCTTTATTTTTACATATAGTATTAATACATCTAATGGCATGCTTGCACTGTTTAGGATTACCCAACTTAGCTGCACTGGAGACAACTGGTAATAAACTCCTGAAAGATATATACAAAACACTTTATTCTATTTCTTTCAAATTTGCCTATATACTAACCTTTTATTTAATAAACATCATCACGCTATGGTCAAGTCATCATTATTATATGGTATTCATGTGTGCAAAGCAAAATACAACATTCCTTTAGTTGAATAAATATATGCCATAAGCTTTGGAAAAGAAATAGATTTTTTATAAACCAGCTGATTATGCATCAATCAAAGCTTTTTTCAGCAATCAATGATGACTAAGACATTTTGTTGGACTGTAAGCCAGCTCAGGTATCATTTTCCACTGTTTACAATTTGTTACAGATACATTTTGTATTTGTATTTGAATAATTCTTACTCACTACCAAACCGGCCCTCTAAATAATAAACTTTAACATTACTGTGGTTTCATTATCATACGTTGGATATTGATTTTTTGGTGGATTTCTTGGATACAGGTGAACCAATTTTAATTTTCAACGAAGTACATATTTTGTATAGGCTTGTATGTAGACTTTGTCTTAACCATAATATAAAAAATCCATGAAAATACAATTTTTCCTCAATTCATGAAAAATAAATAAATAAACAGTATGGTAAATTCATTTGAAGTGAACAAGCACCGACTGAAACTAATTTTTCATAAATAAATAAAACTAACATTTTAAGGTGTACTGCAAAAAGTTGGTTTTTTTTCTTCATATATACACTAAAATATTGAAAATCACTTCTAAGTGCCATCTTTACCCGGCTAGTTACTCAGATATAACATTTTAGTTCAGTCTGTACCAATGACATTCATAGAGATAGATATTCAAAAAATAAAAATGAGCTAAATAATCATCACATGTACTTACGAATATATATTTGGATAATCCTTTTGAAGATTTTTCCCAATGTTATTGAATATCTGTAGTGTAAGGTCAGCTGAAAATAAAGGAAATTACTTTTGACAGTTATACAGTTTGAAAAATTATTTAAAATGGAAGTTTAAAGCTTACAAATATATAAACATGTAATTAATGAGAACACATGTATAAGGTAAAATAAATGCATGTGAACAATCCTGCAGTTAATATATTTATAACAATACTTGCTTTGACACCCCTTAATTTTACAGGAAAGGCCTTTATATGTTCATTGATGTTACACAGTCAATTAAATCTGAACCAACAAATAAGTTGAAATAATAAAGTAAAAAGAACAATAAAATACAAATCTATACATACCAACACTTTCATCATCATGTTTCATAAACGTTAATAGTAGTTCATATGTCTCTTCTGTCTTGAAATAGTATGGATACGTCCACGACAGTACCTAAGAAATAAACAGGAATACTATATTTAAGATTTTATCTAGTATAGATTTGTTTATGTAAGGTTTAACCTATTACAACATATCTCTAAGAGAATGCAGAAAAACTTGTTAGATATCTACTCAATGTCCAGTGGCACATATTTCATACATCAAGGGCAGTTAAAATGATGATGATGAAGGATGGCTGCTTAATGTCCAGCGGCAAATTAATATGCATATTCAGGACGAGAACATGTTAATGTAATATGAATATTTACCCTGCTTTGTATTAGACCAACACGCTGAGCCGGATTTTTAACATGCTAGCTCACAAGGTAACAGTCCGCTCGAAGACAACGTCACCGTAGGCAGTTAAAATGAACATTGAATTTGAATTTGTTTGTTAGGTGAACCAAAATCTTAATTTTTCCTAAATGTATACCATCTACTGTGTACTGAAAATGTAATAATTCATTTAATCAACTAATACCAAAAGGATTAATAGAAAACCTGATTTACAAGTTTGGTACTTTAATGACAGCAGCTAATAAAGAATTCATGGTTTGAAGAACAAGCAATAAAACCTATAATTTATTTTTTTGTACACACCATAAAAGTTTAGCTGTAGAAGGAATATAAAGAAGAAGCAAATAAAACATCCAATTCCCATTGAGTAAAAACAAATATATCAATGGCAGAGATCTTTTACAGTTACTGATTGGTCTTTGACAATGAAATAATGAGTTCACACCTTATAACAAAAGCATGACAAGTACAAATGATATAATGCTTACCATTAATAATTTAACACTTTTCTCAGCAGCACCATCTATTCCCTCTGTAATTATACCTAGACCTCGGACAGAATCGTCTACATGGGAGACAAGCTGGTCTACTGCTGACACATCTATCATTACAGGGGCCACTCTCTCTAACAGACTTTTTATAGTGTTGTAATATATATTCTGTGTGCCCTGTGATGGACCTCCCAACTTCTTCAAAATTTCTCTCTAAAATATTAAATATATCTTTATTATACATGACAGACACAGGTATCACTTTATAAATGCCCCCTCCGCTACGGCGGGGGCATAAAAAGTGATAACCCTTGCTTCAGTTTACTTTGAAGTAAGATTTTCTCCTGTTCAAAAAGTCTGACCTAATAAATATTGTGCATGCACATCTTCATATGATTTAATACATGTCCGTAAAGCTTTACTGAAAATCCTCCCACAGTATAGAAATATAGAAATGTACTTAAATGATTCAGACAGAAAAAGAAAATTCTCCCACAGTATAGAAATATAGAAAAGTACTAAACTGATTCAGACATACAAAAGAAAGTAACTTATTTCTCTTAAAAACATGTTTTGATTATATAACCATTCAATGTATTAATGAAACATTACCACTAAATCTTGTGCTTTTTTACATGTACAATCTTGACTAAGTAATTTGATTAAGTAGCTCCTAAGTCTTTTGTCATCTTTGATTATCTGACAAAATTTCTTTAGATGCTCTATGGCCTTTCCAGTTTCTGGTAAAGTTCCTACAATTAAAATATAAAACCTTATTAGTTCCTCCTCAGATCCATTCAATCAGGCGATTCTTCCACGTCTTTTTTTAGTGGGTCTTGTGAAATATTCTTATGATTTTTAAAATAGGTATCACCAATTGCAAGTTTATTAAGTTCTCTTTATATGGAATGCTACAATTTTCTCCAAATAAAACTCTACGTATCAAAACTATTATTCACCTGAAATGATGTTGATTTTATCAAATGAAATGTCAAAAGATGAATATGCAAATTACAAAGCCAAATTTTCACATCATTAAAGTCTGTAAACATAATTTTTTCCATCAAAAAGAAACAGGATGATAATTAGCAGAGGCCTAGCAACCAGCACTTAAAAATAGTCATTCTGCATTCGTTCCTTTTATTTTAAGGTATTGCTTTTGCTTTAGTTTTGTTATGTTTCAATTGCAAATGTTTCCATCGTTTATAAGAATTGCTGATTTGTTTAAACCCTGTAGTTCTTACTTGACAAACTAACTATCCTAGGATTCAGTTCAATCGTTTATAAGAATTGCTATTTTTGATTTGTTTTAAACCCTGTAGTTCTTACTTGACAAACTAACTATCCTAGGATTCAGCAAAGCTTGTTGTTCTATTGCTTCCACCATCTGCAAAATCATAGCTCTAACACTGTAAAACAAGGAGGAATATAAAATAAACTGTTCACACAGAGATATGCCCAACCTTTTTGTCATTTTGATAGTAAAAGGTGAATGTTGAAATTAAAACAGCAATGTTATGGAAAATATTCAAAGTCAATGAACTATTACTGAAGGTACAGGGGCAAACAATCTCCATGGAAATGAGATGTGCCAATTCTCATACAACTGCATACCAATTATAAATAGACCTACCACTAGTGGTTCCCCATAAACGGACCTAATCACAAACTAATACACGTAAACTAAGTAAAAGTTTCAAAAGTCAATAGACCATGACTGAGGGGGCAGATCCAAATAATCTCCATGGAAATGAGATGTGCCAATGCTAAGACAACTGCATACCAAATATCATTGACCTACCACCAGTGGTTTCCCTTAAACTGACAATCACAAACTAATACATTGTTGACGCCACCGCTAACGAAGCCAGTACCATCGGAAAGAGCATACCTAAGTCTCGCTTTTTGACTCTGTCAAGGCGCAACAAAACACGTTTGTTCTTCATGTTGACCAGAAACATGTAACATGAAGACTCGTTTTTCTTACAACCAATTGTTACAGTATTGGTACTTATAAGAAAATCTAGTTAAATAATTAAACTTGTTAAATACATTCTTCAAAAAAATGCTCCGCTGGGGCGCAGCTTGATACGACCGCAGAGGTCGAACCCTGAACAGTTGGGGCAAGTATGGACACAACATTCAAGCTTGATACAGCACTGAATTTGGATTGTAATTAAATATTTGACACAGCATAGGTTTCTCACACAGAATGAAAGTGGTCTAAGAACTTGAAAATTTTTAATTTACCTATTCAAACCATATCATTATTATTTGCTTTTATATATAAATCAGAAATAACCAATTTAAAATGGAAAATTTTAAAGAAAAAAAAGGAAACCCCCCCCCCATATTTTTTTTAACCCCATTAAGATTCATCACCCCCAAACTCAATCCCAGCTTTCCCTTTGTGGTATGGTACCTTGCAGTACAATTTCAGAGAGATCCATACACTTGAACAAAAGTTATTGTCTGGAAACTAGAAAAATGCTTGTTTTTTGGCCCCTTTTTGGCCCCAAATTCCTAAACGTTTTGGGCAATTACCCCCAAACTCAAACCCAGCTTTCCCTTTGTGATATGGAACCTTGCAGTACAATTTCATAAAGATCCATACACTTACACACAAGTTATTGTCCTGAAACTAGAAAAATGCTTATTTTTTTGCCCCTTTTTGGACCCTAATTACTAAAATTTTGAGGCAATTACCCCCAAAATCAATCCCAGCCTTCCCTTTGTGGTATGGTACCTTGCAGTACAATTTCAGAGAGATCCATACATTTGAACACAAGTTATTGTCTGGAAACTAGAAAAATGCTTATTTTTGGCCCCTTATTCCTAAATTTTTTGGGCAATTACCCCCAAACTCAAACCCAGCTTTCCCTTTGTGATATGGAACCTTGTAGTACAATTTCATAAAGATCCATACACTTACACACAAGTTATTGTCATGAAACTAGAAAAACGCTTGTTTTTTGCCCCTTTTTTGCCCTTAATTCCTAAAATTTAGAGGCAATTACCCCCAAAATCAATCCCAGCATTCCCTTTGTGATATGGAACCTTGTGATACAATGTCAGAGAGATCCGTACACTTACACACAAGTTATTGTCATGAAACTAGAAATATGCTTGTTTTTTGCCCCTTTTTGGCCCCTTATTCCTAAAATTTGGAGGCAATTACCCCCAAAATCAATCCCAGCATTCCCTTAGTGATATGGAACCTTGTGGTACAATGTCAGAGAGATCCATACACTTACACACAAGTTATGTCTGGAAGTTACAAAAATGCTTATTTTTGGCCCCTAATTCCTTAACTGTGGGTACCATAACCTCCAAAATCAATCCCCACCTTCCTTTTGTGGTATTTAACCGTATGGTAAAATTTCATTGAGATCCATTCACTTAAACTAAAGTAAGAGTGCGAAAACTAATGTGTCTTCGGACGACAACGACGCCAACGTCATACCAATATACGACCACAAAAATTTTTTGCGGCCGTATAAAAAACCAAGATGAAAAACTGGTTTCTTGAAAAAAGTCAATTGATGTTGTGTAATGTGTACATGCAAATCTTTAACTGTAATGTTCATATTTTATCAATGCACAATGACATCAAATTACAGAAAAATCCAAGATTAAAACTATCTAATTATCAATACATCGAGACTCTGTTCCGAGCATTCAAGTTAGTAAACTAACATAAAGTCATAATTTTCACAGATAAGCATCTCAATACACCTATATATATATGTGTTTATACCAGTAGATGCTCATTGTAAAGGCCATATGGTGATCTCCATATATTGGATTTTATAAGGTTGCAGCACATTATAATGTTTCCTTTTTCTTCATTATTATTTTTGTAATATGCATGTTTATATTATAACAACATGTCTTCTTGTCATACCACATACCTTATTCTGTGTTTAAACATTTCCTGGAAAGCTCTGAAAATAAATAAATTCTTTTATTGAGCTTCTAATAACAGTTCTAACATTCATATCGATTAAATATTTCATATATTTGAAATCAGGACACTTTATGCATTTCTAGTGGAAAAGGGATGGGAGGAAGAAAAAAGAAAGGAACAAGGATTTTGTATATTGTTCTTTTTTCTTGTCAGTTAAGTAGTTGAGGCATTCCTGCATGCCCATAAGCAATTGTGACAGCTGTTATAGAAATCTTCTCTTTCATATATGACAATTGAACACAATGCCCAAATCACACTATCATATTTCCATGAACTCTGGGTCAAAGCCCTAATTTGGCATATATATTTCAGAAAATTCACATCATAACGAACATGTGTACCAAGATTCAAGTTGAAGTGACTATAACTTCATGGTAAAAATTGCACAAAATATCAGAAGTTATCACTAGATCATTAATAATTTCTTCAATTGATATACATATTTATAGAAAAATCTTTATAATGCAGAGATAAAGTATATACTACAAAATCTGTTATTTCTTTATCTTACAAGAAAAGATCACGGAGTGTAATATAAGGTGAGTTGAATTGAAAAGTTATTGTATATAAGCAAATAACCAAAAGTATCACATAAAACAATGCCAGGGAGCATCTTGATTAATGATTGACAACCTACCAACAAACATTATTATGAAAAACCACAATAAAAGCACTTTTAATTTGACATATGGCTTTATATCTCAGAATATCTGAAGAAGGAATGTTGTTGTCTTATGTCTCAGCTTACCCAATATTCCTTTTTCAACAATTTTCTTTCATAATTACATCTTGCAGCAACTTGCAAATGAAAACTGAATAATATCCAACAACTGATATTGAAATGGAAACATTTGGCAATATTTTGTGATCACATCTACTTACTTTATTGCATGTTCATCTAAGGTACAATATAACAGTAAGAATTGTCTCATCCTGTCTTCTTCTGGCATATTATAGGGAACTAAACAGGTGTTAAACACTCTCTCTACTAAAAGTCTGAAATAAAAACAAAGTAATATACCTGTATGTATTATGAATCCAATTTCCAAATTTATGGTGAAGCTTAATCAAGACCCAACATAGCACTGCTTCATGAATGAATTGATATATATTTTATATGTCAGGGCCTTTTATAGCCAACTCTACAGTTGCCTAAGCCCTATAATTGCTTACATCCACTTCATTTGAAAATACAAGAAAATAAAAACTTAATGGAGGTTAAAAATAACATTTGCAGTTAATAGATAATTGACAGAAGCAAATAGCCTGTTTCCAGGTTAAAATTAACCCAAAAAGAATAAACAGCTGCGCCATGAGCGCATGATACGCCCGTCGTCTTGTGTGTGAATTTTTATGCAATAAGCATAAATAGTTTCTGACATACGGCGTGACATGCGAAAACCCCCCTTTTTTTTTTTACAAAAAACTCAATATCTATAAAATAAAATTTTGAATCAAAACCAAAAAGTATACAGATCTTAAGATTAATATAACTAAGAAGTGTGTAAAATTTTAAGCAATAATCATAAATCGTTTTTGAGATACGGCGCGACATGTGAAAACACCCCTTTTAAAAAAAAAAATCAATATCTCAAAAATAAAATTTTGAATCAAAACCAAAAAGTATACAGATCTTTAGATTAATATAACTAAGAAGTGTGTAAAATTTTAAGCAATAATCATAAATCATTTTTGAGATATGGCGCGACATGTGAAAAACCCCTCCCCCTTATTTTACAAAATACTCAATAACTCAAAAATAAAATTTTGAATCAAAACCAAAAAGTATACAGATCTTAAGGTTAATATAACTAAGAAGTGTGTAAAGTTTTAAGCAATAATCATAAACTGTTTTTGAGATACGGCGCGACATGTGAAAAACCCCTCCCCCTTTTTAACAAAATACTCAATAACTCAAAAATAAAATTTTGAATCATCACCAAAAAGTATACAGATCTTAAGATTAATATAACTAAGAAGTGTGTAAAGTTTTAAGCAATAATCATAAATTGTTTTTGAGATACGGCGCGACATGTGAAAAAAAACACACACCTGTTTTAGTTACTAAGTCCAGTAACTCAAAAAGTTTTAATCTTATTTTCACCAAAAAGTATACAGATCGTTTGACCATCATAAGAAACAACTATGTTAAGTTTCATGAAATTTGGATAAGTCATTCTCAAGTTACGGTGCGACATGTTTACACCGGACAGACAGACGGACAGACAGACGGACGGACGCCGGACATTTGTATAACATAATACGTCCCGTCAAAAATTTGACGGGCGTATAAAAACACGCAAATTCAATGCTTGATCCACTAAACCAAAGAATAACAATACATTTATTAGTATTAAATGTATGTTACTATAATATTACCTGTCATCACTACTTTGTTGATAATAATGATGGAATATCTTGTCTTTAATAAATGATACTTTCTCCACGTACGATTCCTCTACTTTTTCACCAAACGTGTATTTCTTGTATAGTTGTCCAAGTCCCATTAATGCCTCTCTTCTGACTTGGAACTAGACAAATAAATCATATTGATCATGTACATCATATCATGGCTGGTACGTATTTGATTATAATATAACAAATGAAACCTACCAATCATCAAAAGTGTAATGTATACACACTACAAAAAAAAATCTTTTTCAGAAAATACTGCATTTATGATTCTAAACAATCCGTACAAGTTATATTTCTCAGTTCACATAATCTGGCAGATGCAATAACTCAGGTCTTTACTACTTTCTTATCTAGCGGTCTCTCTTTTATAAAGCCAAGTAATTCTTCATTAATTATACTTAAATCTTTCTTACTTTCTTATCTAGCGTTCTCTCCTTTATAAAGCCAAGTAATTCTTCATTAATTATACTGAAATCTTTCTTTGCTACGCTGAGAACTGTGTTGACAACCTCCATACGAATGGTTTCCTCAGGATCATGGCTTCTTGATTTCAGTTGTTCTACAATATCTTTATTAGTTTCTGGGTGATTAATAAGGAAATATTGTGAGAACTGGACACAGGTCTGACGAACAGGTATACTAATGTCATTAAATCTGAAATAAGAGACAAACAGGTATCCTTTATATGTCATTATGTCTGAAAAAAGTCACAAATGTATACAACTGTCAGAAATTGAAACAAGACAAACAGCTATCCTATTAATGTCTTTTATTAAAGTCAGAAAGAAGTTTGAATTAGTTTCCATGCATTCCAGATTCCAAAACTCGTGCAAACATATAATTGACTTTAAATCAGATGCTCTAAGGAAATCCAACTAACTAATCAGTCTTCACTATAAACTTTTGAATCCACAGACTCAAAAGCTCAATTTTACAAAAATTGGGTGTTTTAGAGATGATTTTTACAGGCCCCAAAGCAATTTTACAAGCCTGGACTGGTGGTGGTTAAGTGTGAAGACTGATTACTAATGCCATTAGTTGAGAAGGAACTGCTTACCCTTCTGGAGCACCTGTCCTTAGTTCAACCCATGTTATTGGTAGGGTTTCTATTGTTCTATTTTCATTTCAATGTGTATTCTTATGTAGAATGTATTATCTGTTTGTTTTTATTTGGTCATTGTTATTTTGTTATTATTGGACTTGATTATTGATTGTCCCTTTTGTACCTTCTTCCCAGTTCTTTTTAATAAGTTAGTTTTGTAGTTTTACCTTCCCAGAAAACAAATCCAAAGTGGTCTATTTTGTTCTACAAGACTAGATCCCTCATCAGAAAACATCTTGGCTAAAAGTTTTGTTACTTGTTTTCTTTCACTTTCTTCATTACTCTGAAAAATTTACATATTGATAAGTAAAGTTGTCTAAATAAAAACAAATATTGGTTTGTTTCAATAGAATTTAATTATTTTTTTTTAATTCTTTAAAATCTAAAGCATGCCAGTTTAATAGCAGTGATGCAGCTAATCTTCAGACCTGTCGGACCTAGGGGACAAAAATTAAGAGGTTCTGGCAAATGACATCTTTGTGTCAGTCCCAATGACCGGCAAATATTTTTACTGTTTGGGGCCTTCAAAATTGAAATTTCTGTAGGTCCTGGTTACCTTGGCTTCCAAATCAATTATGTAGTTGAAAAGAATTGAAAACCAAAAGTTCTAATGACACATTTTATTGCCGGTTATAAGTAAACGTGCTGATGTAAACAGATTTCCATCTTCTCTGCGTTTATCCAATTAGCGAATGTCATGTGATCATAATTATTTTCTTATTTCTCTGGATTTATCATTACACATAGCAATGAATGAAAACGAAAGTAAATTTCTGGTAACAATATTGAATAGAAGCATGTTTTCAGCTTCTTTTTGATAGCTGAGGGATAATTCTGATAACAAGACTCAGCAAGTGTTATCAGGAAGCGTCCCTCGGACACACGGTTCATGCAATGGCGCTTCCAGACAGAAAACCATGCATTTAGGGCACAAATACGTGCCTTAACGAGAACATTGTTAGTAGTAATAGTACGACAAACACGGGTTTCGTCACCATATGACAATTGTCAAATTAGTGGTGCATGAATTAAAACAGTTGGAACAATAGATGGCCAAATCAATTATGAAGTTGAAAAGCATTGAAAACCTAAAGTTCTATTAAGGGACAACTAATGACCAGATTTGTGTAAATTAAATTAAACAAAAACAAGTAGTATGTTCGTTTTCTAAGAGTATTTTTTCATTTTAGTTAATGTGTGAACAGACATATTCGTTTTGACGTAAATGTAGCTTGCCACAGTCTCTGTTTTTGATCTAATTGTTCTTATGCCAATTAATAAGACAAGTCTTATCGGCAAGTGTAGTACAATATTCTCATTTATTTATTTGATGTTACAGGATAATTTAAATTAAATGTGGCCTCAGTCATTAAACCACCCCATGGTCATATCCTTATTTAACCTGGTCGTTCTAGTCAAGGTTTTAGGCATTATATCTTAATCCAACTGGGAAACTGGTTATTATTTTTCAAAATAAGTAGGTCTGGCAAACAGTTGATTGGACTGCCAAAACTGTCTTACATGCAGGACCCAATGTCTGACAGGAAAAAAAAATTATCTGCATCTCTGAAATTGTATATTGGAGATTTATGTACAGTTAAAGTACAAAAATATAACTCCAAATTTAAAATTATTTTGAAACAGAGGGGCGAAAAACCTGAAATGATATTCGAGGAAATTAGAATTTATGATCCTGCATTTCTGCTGTTTTTCTTTCTTTGCATCATACAATCACCCTATGCAGTTTCATATGTAAATTAACATGCATGTGTTTTCAACATGACCTGTCATTGTCAGTATCTATGTTATGAAGGAGATATAAATATATATGTAAAATAAATTATTAATAAAACAATATGCTTGTATTGAAAAAATACCATGGCATTCTTTCACATTTTTTTTTTTTGGTACTCTATGCATGTATGTATGTAGTTTAACAACAGATTTTAAATATAGACTTACCTTCAGTTTAAACTCTAGCTGGGGTAGAACTGACAGCAAAACATTTGGAGAAATCTGATTCAGTTCATAAATTAGGTCATAAAGTCTGTGAGATAGTTCACTTTCAGAACTTTTGCCCAACATCAAAGTATTGTTGAAAAACTGCAAACATACAACAAGAAAACATTGTAAACCAATCTAGCTGCAAAAAATTACTAATTACAAAATCTATAAAAACAAGAATGTGTCCATAGTACACGGATGCCCTACTCGCACTATCATTTTCTATGTTCAGTGGACTGTGAAATTGGGGTCAAAACTCTAATTTGGCATTAAAATTAGAAAGATCATATCATAGGGAACATGTGTACTAAGTTTCAAGTTGATTGGACTTCAACTTCATCAAAAACTACCTTGACCAAAAACTTTTCAACCCGAAGTGGGACAGACGAACGGACGCACAGACCGAAAACATAATGCCCCTAGGTGGGGCATAAAAATAATTTAGTCTTCATTTATGTCTGTAACAATGCTCTTGTATTTATTTAAAGCTACAGCATATCAGATAATGGGGATATTGTGTATCTATTGATATCTGATTATGGGGATATTGTGTATCTATTGATATCAGATAATGGGGATATTGTGTATCTATTGATATCAGATATTGGGGATATTGTGTATCTATTGATATCTGATAATGGGGATATTGTGTATCTATTGATATCAGATAATGGGGATATTGTGTATCTATTGATATCTGATAATGGGGATATTGTGTATCTATTGATATCAGATAATGGGGATATTGTGTATCTATTGATATCAGATAATGGGGATATTGTGTATCTATTGATATCAGATATTGGGGATATTGTGTATCTATTGATATCAGATATTGGGGATTGGGGATATTGTGTATCTATTGATATCAGATAATGGGGATATTGTGTATCTATTGATATCAGATATTGGGGATATTGTTTATCTATTGATATCAGATAATGGGGATATTGTGTATCTATTGATATCAGATAATGGGGATATTGTGTATCTATTGATATCAGATATTGGGGATATTGTGTATCTATTGATATCAGATATTGGGGATATTGTATATCTATTGATATCAGATAATGGGGATTGGGGATATTGTGTATCTATTGATATCAGATATTGGGGATATTGTATATCTATTGATATCAGATAATGGGGATTGGGGATATTGTGTATCTATTGATATCAGATAATGGGGATATTGTGTATCTATTGATATCAGATAATGGGGATATTGTGTATCTATTGATATCAGATATTGGGGATATTGTATATCTATTGATATCAGATAATGGGGATTGGGGATATTGTGTATCTATTGATATCAGATAATGGGGATATTGTGTATCTATTGATATCAGATAATGGGGATATTGTGTATCTATTGATATCAGATAATGGGGATATTGTGTATCTATTGATATCAGATATTGGGGATATTGTGTATCTATTGATATCAGATAATGGGGATATTGTGTATCTATTGATATCAGATAATGGGGATATTGTGTATCTATTGATATCAGATATTGGGGATATTGTGTATCTATTGATATCAGATATTGGGGATATTGTATATCTATTGATATCAGATAATGGGGATTGGGGATATTGTGTATCTATTGATATCAGATAATGGGGATATTGTGTATCTATTGATATCAGATAATGGGGATATTGTGTATCTATTGATATCAGATAATGGGGATATTGTGTATCTATTCATGATACAAAATCCTTACTTAACAAAACCCTAAGTAAAGGAACAGAGCTTATATTGATGTTATATTCATTTTGATGTCAGAGTGAGGCCTTCAACATGGTGCAAATGTTTACACTAGGCAAGTCTTTACTGTCACATTTCTAGTTTAAATGATTATCATACCAGGAGAGATGCATGTTAGGGTATACACAATTCATTTGTATACCACTTGTTACACAACAACATGGATTTTTGGAATACCTGTTTTAATCCCTATTCAATTTTACACCATAAATCTATACATCCCTATAATTAGAAATGATTTGTTTGGTTCTTTGGACATGTCAGGAGATAAATTTCTACTGTATACAGCAAAACTATTATATAAATAATATTATACATACTGCTTGTATATATGGTTCAATAGCATTACTGGATCTGATTAGTAGCTCCTTGGCAAGTGCATATGCTACTCTTTTCTGTGTCTGTAAGAGCAAGAGAAAACATAAAACAATTTGTCCATGTTTAATGATACAGTTTACTAAAACATTGAAATCTTAATATCCCCCTCCTTGAACTTCACAAATCGGTAAAATATAAATTTTACTGAAACTTTCAAATAGCACTTGGTAATTTATGATCAATTTTTCCCCTTAGAGGGTCTTATCGTGTATGTTTCTACTTTACTTGACAGAAAAAAGTCTGTAAGTTCTTGTCTTAAGTCACTATTCCATCATAATGTCCTTAAGAGGTGATAGCTTACCTTGTAGGGTTCTACAACATTTAACAAGATAATGTCCATCAGTTCTTGTGAAACAGAATCAGCCTCGGTTATAAGTGGAGTCAACATATCCAATACAAAGTTCTTAACTTTGCTCGAGTGCTTATCACTACAAACAAAAGTTGTATAATTGATTATAATAAAGTTTACATAGATGAATAAAATCAATTTGTCTCTCTTCTTTTCCCAATAAATGAAAATCTTTATGAAACATTTATGACACTATCGGCCACAATTTTTACACCACCTAATTCAATATGATCTCAAAGAATGTAATCTTTCTTGAAGCATTAAGTCCAGCTGTTCCATGTCTGACCTAATTCGAATAAAGAATTTGTTGTTTTACAAAGTAGATAGGCACTGGACAGAATACTGCTACCATATAATGATGCATGATGTCAGGAAACAACATTTCTTTTCTGCACATTTTTTTTGTGTATCCAAAAGCACTGTTTTTTTTAATGTTCTCTTTACACATGTATACACGTCTAATTGCTTTTCTTTTTTTTACTGTAATCTTGTGCTAAAGAACAATTTATACATTTTATTGATTACTCAGTAATTTGAACATATGAACAAAACAGTACAGTTATATCACGTACAGATTAAAATGACCTTTAGTGATGTTCTGATTAATCAATTATAATTTTCCAGCTGAACATACCTTACAATAGAAAACATGAGCTGGAACAAACTGCAGAAGATTTCTTGGTTCTCTTCCAGTTCGATACAAATATTAAAGGACTTGACCCATGCAAGATTCTACAATAATAAAACAACAGTTGGTATAACTTGGGAGGATTTTTTTGATGATCTCGATTTGCAAGCACACTTCACTGAACTTCACATTAACTATTATTTATTGTGTTTGTAGGTTTAACAATAATAACATCATTCATGGCAGTAAGTGATTTGAGGATGAAACATGAGAGACTGAGAGGTAAGACATATGATAACCCTTCAGCCTATACTTTACACTAAAAGTTGTAGTTTTATTGAAAATCTGAATTTTACACTGTATGTCTATGTAATATGCAGATTTGAAAGGTGTACAGACTATAAACAATACTGGACGGTAGCCAGGTCATTTTGCATTAAGAGGTGATAGTTTCATGTAAATATTGAACTAACAACCTCAATTTTTTTAAATCTTTGATGTACCAAAGAAAAGCACTTTAAATCTGTAAAAGGGGACAAATCTCACAAGCAATTATAAGTTTGGGTATGAACTTACAGAGAATGTACTTTAATATTACCATCCATAATAGCACCTGTTGCAATTAAAACCAGGAGGAAAATTTATCATTTCTTCAAAAACAAAAACGTAAATGCAAATAAAATTACAATATCAAAAAAAAGAATACTTAAATATAGTCTAATAAAAAAAATTCTGTACTTTTCTTCAATCACACCTTTATTTTGGGAAAACTTAATAAACTTCACAAGTTGTAATCAAGTATCTGTATTTAATATTTACCTCTAACAAGTAAAAATATCTCTTGAATGATGGTGAGTCAGGGTCTTCCAAACCTCTCAACTGTTTAACAAGGAATATAAAGATATCCTAAAATTCAAATATAATACATAAGCAATTTTCAAATGAAAGAAGAATGTGTCTAGGACACGAATGCCCCTGCTCAAGAGTAACACTTAATGCCCCGGTTGCCTATGGCATGGGCATTAAAAATAATTTACCTTTCTTCTCATGATGGCAGTTCTTCATACGGCTTTGTTTTGTGGCTGTAAGATATTTGTTTAGATTTATTATAAGAGAAGAAATCATAAACTATTTCCTAGACTTTTCCTGCCTATATATTCAGTGCCTATTTTCAGGAGTATTTCAATGAAAACAAGAATCCATTTTCCCACAAAATATGAGATTTTAATTTACCAATGACAGCAACAAACTGAGGTAATTTATTAGAGTATATTCAATAAAGTTGCAATGAAATTGTTTTATGCATTTGCAGTACAAACATGATCTTGCAGATAATCATTCTATATTTCAATTTAATATCCTCTCAATCAGTCACCTTATTTATAGTGCAATATGTTTAATTAATAGTCAGCTGATATTTGATGCATCTCCCAGTCACAATAAAGATTTCCAATTCTGTTCAAACGGTCATTCCCAGAAGGACAGCAAAAGCCCTGATTTCTTACAAACGCAATGGAAAAGGTCACCAAAATGTCACATCATACATCTTTACCTTCAAGTGTTTAAGATCCTTATAAGGAGCCTCAGGTGCAAATATTCTAAAAACATCAGCAATACAACAGGCAACCAGTAATCTGACATCTTTACTCTGGTGGTCCAGAAAATAATCTGTAGCTAAGTATACAGCAAGCCCAGAATACTGGTCGTTATCATCTTGTCCCATATCCTGGAAAGCCCTAGCTAACAACTGTCCAAAAAAACAAAAAAAAAGTTATCTCCCTTTGACATCTTAACTTGGATGTCCAAAACAGACAGGAGCCTAGTATCCTGTTTTTATCACATTAATGCAAGTGAATAATTCATCAGCGATGTATATTAGCTTATTTTGATAAAATTGAAACAAACTGGCTGCTATAAGCGAATTATCATTTCACGGTTTCACTTTCATAAATGATTGAACTAAAAAAAATAAATGGGGAATGTGTCCATGGGACACAGATGATGTCCCGCCTGCATATAAGGTTATAAAGGGACATAACTCAAGAACTGCAAAAGTGCAAATTTGTACTTGATCTGAGTTTTGTGTTAATAAGCATTGTTTATAAGTTTCATAACATTTGGTTGAGGCAAACTAAAGTTAGAGAACCGAAACGAAAAATTCAGCAATTTTTCCATTTGTAAAGGGCCATAACTCTAGAACGGTAAAAGTGACGCCACCAAAATTCAAACTTGATCTGTGTTTTGTGGTAATAAGCATTGTGTATAAGTTTCATAACATTTGGTTTCAGGCAAACTAAAGTTAGGGAATGGAAACAAATTTTGGGACGTACGTACAGACAGAGAAGGGTAAAACTTAATGCCCCCTCCACTACGACGGGGGCATAAAAATCCTATTTCAATTTTTTTACATTATGTAGCTAATGCCCCTTGAATGGTTTAGAGAAATAAATCTGTAGTATATAACCTGGCAATTAAGTCAAGTGGGTAACAGATCATGTATAATCTTGAATTCTCCCACTTTGTCATGTACTCTTGAGGTTTTTTTTTTTGAGGAGGGGAGGTGTAGATATATGTTATATAATGATAAATTTTAAATCATTTTGTGTGCATATAAAGTTAACATTGACCAATGCAATAGGACTAGGTTTATTTTTGGCTAAATCTTGATTGATAAAACTGGTTGTAGGATGACATGGTTTATCAAATCAAAACTGTCAACTTGTCAAGATTAATGATACATATCACTTGTTCAAAAAAAATTTACCTTCAGCCTTCGCACCAATTCCTCTTTTCCTATCTCTTCAGTAATATCTTTACACCCCGGAGGGTAAACTATCTTATTTGCTTTCCCACTCATGTTAGCACTTGTTCATTTACTACATTTAAATCTGAAATAAAAGAATAATTATTACTAAAAAAAAGTTCACAAACTGAAATTTTTCACCAGTTTGGCTAATTATCAATATCTATAAAAATAAAGATGGTCACCTGGAAAGTTTTGAGTTTTCCAATATACAATAAAATGCTCCGCTGGGCGCAGCTTGATACGACCACAGAGGTCGAACCCTGAACAGTTGGGGCAAGTATGGACACAACATTCAAGCTTGATACAGCTCTGAATTTGGATTGTGATTAAATAATTGACACAGCATAGGTTTCTGACACAGAATGAATGTGGTCTAAGAACTTAAAAAATTTTAATTTACCTATTCAAACCATTCATTATTATTTGCTTTTATATATAAATTAGAAATAACCAATTTAAAATAAAAATGAAGGAAATAAAAAAGAAAAAAAAATCCCTCCCCCCCAAATTTTTTGAACCCCCTTATGATTCATCACCCCCAAACTTAATCCCAGCCTTTTCTTTGTGGTATGATACCTTGCAGTACAATTTCAGAGAGATCCATACACTTGAACACAAGTTATTGTCTGGAAACTAGAAAAATGCTTGTTTTTTGGCCCCAAATTCCTAAACGTTTAGGGCAATTACCCCAAAACTCAAACCCAGCTTTCCCTTTGTGATATGGAACCTTGCAGTACAATTTCATAAAGATCCATACACTTACACACAAGTTATTGTCCTGAAACTAGAAAAATGCTTGTTTTTTGCCCCTAATTCCTAAAATTTTGAGGCAATTACCCCCAAAATCAATCCCAGCATTCCCTTTGTGATATGGAACCTTGTGGTACAATGTCAGAGAGATCCATACACTGACACACAAGTTATGTCTGGAAGTTACAAAAATGCTTATTTTTGGCCCCTAATTCCTTAACTGTTGGTACCATAACCCCCAAAATCAATCCCAACCTTTCGTTTGTGGTATTGAACCTTATGGTAAAATTTCATAGAGATCCATTCACTTAAACTAAAGTTAGAGTGCGAAAACCAACGTGTCTTCGGACGACGACGACGACGTCATACCAATATATGACTGCAAAATTTTTTTGCGGTCGTATAAAAATCACTTCAGTTTTATATATCTAGGTCCAGACATGCCTTAAATCTATTCCAGTTGGACAGGTTTATCTGTAGTATGAAAAGATAAAAGAAGTGTAAAAACAGTCGTATTTGCCATAAGGTTATGATGAACCTAAAACAAATGTACACTCTTCACTTTTGTAACATAATTTTTAAATATTATTTTATACCTTAAATTGCTTTTGTTTTTAAATTTTTATTCCATCAATTATAATTCTAAAGTTAAAATAGAATTATTATTTTTAAGTGCCATCTTCATTACAAAACCAGGCATATTCAAGGTTCATGGGACACTGGCAAAAGTCAGGTGAAGGTGTTCACCAGTAACTTTTCCTCTCAAAGTATAGACCAAATATCCAGTGAAATTGATTGGGCCAAAAAGAATTTATCATTTCCGAGTAACTTTTAGTTATATTATTACTTAGATTTCTACTGTATATTTTTGCGAATATATCAGTTGTTGAAATCACTAACTACAGGGTTCGTGAAACTTGAATTTTTTCTGCCAGACCAAGGACTGACAGAAAGCATACTTCTGCTGGTCCTTCATTTTCTGGAAATTATCACATAATTTGTAATATTAGATACTATAGTGGAAAACATTAGAAAACGCAATTTATATACTCTCAGGGTGCAAACTGGTATCAATGCAACACAACCAGAATCTTGGTATGGTATGGGAACCATTTGTTGTAGGTAGGGGTTAAGGATAGTTAAGCATAACTCTATATCTAGTGATATTGTTGTCTTTTTTCAAAATTACCTTTTTTTGGGGGTTATTGTCAACATAAGTTTCATTACAAACTTCTTTTATTATATTATCTAAAGCTTGTATGACCTCTGATTCGATTTCAGATGACTGATCATTTACTATGATAACTTCGTTCATTTTTTTGAACACATCTCTGATTTTTTGCTGACCTTTGCGGTCTTTCTTGCACAGTTTTTAACGTAATATTTTGAATTGTGAGACATTTTCAACCGGAAAGGAACTTTTTGGGGAGGGGAAAGAAACAGAAAAAATGATCGTATTTAATACATTGAAAACCATGTGATGATTCTAATCAGAAGCCCAGATCTCAAAAGTGCTTTCATAATATTAAAATAATAACATGAATACAAAATTTACATACATTACTACCGATGCAATCACCGTTTGGGAAAAATGTACAACTTATGGGGAGGAATTTTATGCCATTTTTTTTTGTAATTGGGAAATTTCTCTAGGGGAAAAAGTCGAATTTCTGAGGTAATTTGAGCCAAACAATATCACTGATATCTGTTGGAACTCCTATAGTATGCCATGTAAGAGCAGGCCGCTATAGACCTTTCCGCTTTGGGAATCTGCGACGCTTGAACTATTGACGTCATACAACAATCACTTTTCCTTTGTGGTGTCTTATATTTTCTATTGTGACAACTAAATTTTACAGGAACCTTTGTGAAGTCTGATAATGGCAGGCAAATAGCAATAAGGTGCATTACTCTGTCACACTACAAAAGATTGATCAGGTCAGGAATAACCATCAATTGGTTGATTATACTTAATTTCAGGTATAATCCACCATTTGACATATAATGAGAAACACCAATCATGCCAATTGAGGTATAATGTAGATTTATCAAAAAAAAATTTGAAGAGATATTGGATCATCTTTTTGCATTTACCATTCCAAGCTTTGATGACCACTTGGTGATGACATGTAATTGACTCTGACACTTAGTGCTGCATTTTGTTAGAAAAACCCAAAATCTAATGTGACCCTCCTTTTCCTACTTATAAATTCTTGAGTTTTCATTTACTAATCTTATTCCTGTTCTGTAGTCTCTTGCTTTCCATCTAGAATTACAAATCCTAAAGATGGAACTGATGCAGACTTAAGGAAACCAGTCGTGAATATCCATCAATTAGTGGATTATACCTCAACTGAGGTATAATCCACATTTTCACAAAACGCAGCACAGGAAGTTGCATGTCACCAATGTCATCCAAAAAATGTTTGTGATAAAAACTGCATTATACCTCAATTGGTGTATCTCATTATATGTCAAATGGTGAATTAAACCTGAATTGAAGTATAATCCACCAATTGATGGTTATTCCTGACCCGTTGATAGTCATGCAAAACAAATATATAACCCCCTTCAAACCTAGAAAGGTATTTAACCATAAATGTCAAAATTAACTACATATTTCACAAATGTTGATATTGCGACTTTCACAAAGAAAACTTTCAGTTGTCAACTGAAGTTACAAAAGTGTCTGAAAACAATATTTCAAGAACTTGCAGTGTAACAGACAGCATGTTGTTCAGGCTCTGCAACCATTTTGATGGTAAAATATGCAATTAATCATAGCAAGAGGTTTTAGAAAATAAAAAAAAACAGCGCCATTTTGATCCATTTGATCATGCGCGAATATTTTGTCTGGTAAGAACATTTGTTATTTCTTAAATATTGTTTTGAAGTTTTTTTAGATAAGAAGATATGCCATTCTAAAATACATTTTACGTTGTTATTCATACACAAATGGCAACAAACAAGGTAATCTTTATATGCGGTAACGGCGCCAAGTTTCCACCATTAATCGATGTTTTGGAATGAAATGTTAAATCAATTTTTATTGGCCAATCAACAGATACCGAAAAATACCGACGACATTCTCACAAAGTTAGCACACAACGTACAGATAAGACAAAGTTGGTGATATATATGGTTGTTATGGATGTATCTGTTGAGTTGTTACACTAATTGGACAAAGTCATTATCTAAAAAAAAAAGGTTTGGGGACTATGTATACCATCAAGCCCCGAAGAATTGGAATTCTAAGAGGGACCAACTGTGTCACTCGTCTCCCAAGTTGCACAAGTGTTATCAATCAAAGTTTGTGGCTCATAAAGACACAAACAATACAGCATTTAAAAAAAAAAAAATTTTGATATAGAATGTTTGTCAAGTTATGAATATTTGGGTATAACATTTATAGTACTTGTAATTTTTCCTTTATTAAAAAAAAGAGCTTTAAAAACAGTGTGAGAACATTATCAATCTGATAAAAAAAATAGATCTATCGTAACTCCCTTACTCGTCTTATGACCATATCGAAATCACAGATCTATAATCTAATAAGATTGAATAAGAAATACATTTAGGAATAGACTTTCTGAGCGTATAATCGAGCCTGTATTACTAGCTATATATGATTCAGAATTTTTGGTGTATTTAATGTTCATAGTTTGACAATCCGTTCTTCTCATCCTGGTGAACATAACTTAGATGCATTTTATAAGAATTTACTATGTGAACAAGTACATGCATGCCACATTTTGAAATTTACTTCGACCTTTTTGTGGTGGGGTGAGCAGCTGAGACATTGAGTACCCCAACGTACCTTTTCATATAGTTTGAATAACAAAAATACATACCCTATAATACATTTTGCTACAAACAAAAAAATATAAATATATAGCTATAATGCTGATATATAGATGTGAAAAATATCTGATTAGTTTCTTAATCCGTCAAAGGTGGAGAGGGGGACTGAATCGTAACCCGTGGATAGCGAAGATGGGGAGATATATACTCCATATGAAGCGCTGATGGAATATTGCTACATAAAAATGGAAACTTGATTTGTTTTATACCTGAAAACAGTTCCAATATTTGTTACTGGTCGTGCTTGAAACACAATCTTGTATAATAAACTATCTCTTTTTGTTAGCCATCAGATCTTTGGTTCATCCGAGGAAACATTTCGCCAGTACTTGGGTATGGGATCTGAATAATAGATTAACGAAATCAACACCTTTTGTGATTTGTGTCGCCGAGTTGCTGCCTCGTTGATGTATACCTCATAAGCCTGAGACATAATACATGAGACACAAAGCTTTATTTAAAGTCGGTATATGCAATACAATTACAAACATAAGCTCTGAAGAGCTTTAAAATCGACAAAAAAAAAGCACAACAAACAAAACATACATATCAAGTCATGCACGCATACTATTTGAAAACATTGAGAGCAAGAGTTTATATTATGCATACATACAACACAAAACTCTATCAAGCAGCTTAAACACACACACACAGTGTATGCATTTATGGGGGTAGAAACATAAAAACACAGTTAAAAGGTTTGTAACATAAAAAAGCACATATATAGACGTTAGTTTATGTAACTCAAATAAGCACAAAATAGCAGAAGCACTATGAATAAACAAAAAAAAAAAAAAAAAAAAAACAATAAAAGAAATGCCATGCTGAAAATAAAGCAATCAACTAAACACAGTGAACAAAGTTACCTGGTTTTGTAGCCGCACCATTGGCATAAGCTGCCAGACCAAAAATTAATCAAGTTCTTGAATTGATTTAAAGACGATTGCTTACGCAGCTCATCTGGCAGCTCATTTCAAAGTTTAGCACCCGCATACCTGAACAATTGTATGCTATATGCAGTTGTTCTCACATGTGGTAGCTCTGCTGTATTCTGGTATCTATAAGAGTGAGAGTTTTCCTTTTAAGTGGATTAAATCATGAAGATATACAGGACATTCTTTATTAATGAGTTTGAAAATTTCAATAGCCAACGATCTCATTCTTCTAATTTTTAAAGATGGTAACTTTGATTTGAAGAGTATATCGTCATAATTTGCTGAATAGTCTTCATAAAACGTTTTCTAAAATTTGGCGTCCACGAGACATATCACTGAGAAAACGGGAGCGATGGAGATCGGTTTTTAATCAGATTGCATAATTATAGAGTTCACTTTTACGAATAAAATAGAAAATGTCATAAAAAAAATACTAAATAATGTCAGCCCCAATATAGACCCTCACATCATATTTTTATACATGAATTGTATCGTTCTTTCGATATGTTGTGAGTTTTTTATACACTCACATGTCGAGTTGAGGGTTCTTATAACGTGAAATAATATATATATATATATATATATTATATATATGGGATCTCCTGTATACTCAAGATTGCAATACAAGATATATATTCTAATATTGAAGACAATGATGGATGCCATAACGGTCCTTCACTACCAGTAATATGTATATCACACAAACGACTCGATGCCTTGCGGGCCTATGGGATTTTAAGAAGATTCTAAACAACATTATATAAGTCATCGCCATCAGTAACAGATTTAAATGGAGGGTTGGCGCCTTCAGCCGAGTTTAACCCCGCCACATTCTGTATGTGCCTGTACCAAAGTCAGGGGCCTGTAATACAGTGGTTGTCGTTTGTTGCTGTTAAACATATTTGTTTTTCGTTCATTATTTTGTACATAAATCATGCCGTTAGTTTTCTCGTTTGAATCATTTCGGTACCTTTTATAGCTGATTATGCGGTATGGGCTCTGCTCATTGTTGAAGGCCGTACGGTGACCTATAGTTGTTAATTTCTGTGTCATTTGGTCTCTTGTGGAGAGTTGTCTCATTGGCAATCATACCACATCTTCTTTTCATAATTATTAATGTAGATTTTTGTAATGTTATGACTTGGTGTAATGATAGCGATATGATATTAAATAGAGATAAGACTAAGGACATGTTAATTCGTTCTAATAGGCAAAATGTTTTTAAAACAAAATTAAGTATCAAATTTGACGATGAACATATAATAGACGTCGTCCATAATAAAAAAAAAATGCTAGGAATCCATATTGCTATATCTCTTTCGTGGGAAAATCAAATTGACAAACTCTGTGCAGTAATTGTAAGCTGACTGCATCTTATTGTCCGACTCAAAGCATATCTTCCAGTAAGTGTTCTCAAACTATATTATAACATGTATAATGGACATATACTTTCAATTATGGACTACTGTTGTACCGTGTGCGAAAATGATTTAAAAACTAATATTGACAAATTATATATATAATTATACTAGTTGTGTATTAGTGTGTTCGCACACAGGATGGTGATATGCGTCTAGTGTGGTGAGGTCGTAGACTTAACACCCACCATCAGCTAGTCCACTTTGTGGATGAAAAGAGAGCCGAGTGCGTCAGCCTCTCCTGCTGGTACAAAGCCTCTACACCATCAAGACTCTTGCAATGCCTCCTCGCGGCAATACATGGATAAAGGGGTCCAGTATCTCAGGCTCAATTGCAATGGATCTCAGAGCAGCAAGGGCCCTAGAGATGCAGAGTGCAGGCCCGCCGGCGAGTGGATACGCCCTGGCTCTCATCAACCTTGCCCCAGCTATGGGTTAAATGCTCCACTGCCTTGTGGGTGACTTGGGAATAGTCAAAGGCTATGGAAGTTAATCCAAACAGAAAATCCGGGTAGATGGAACTCGTTAGCAACAGCAATCGTCTAAGGGATGGAAAACCCCTACAGAACAACCCGACCCTTCACGTAGAAGGTTTAGCTTAGGGCCAACACCCCTAACTTGTAAAAAAAATACGTTACAGAAACGATTAAGTCAAGTAAGTCACTAATTGCAAAAAAAGGCAGCAAGAATCATTTTGAATGCAGGTTTTGATATCCCTTCGTTAGTTATGTTTAAAAAGTTAGGATGGCTTACCATTTATAAAAGAATTAAATATTTTATGGGAGTGATGGTACATAATAATTGTGTGAATAATCTGGCGCCTGAATATTTATCTGAACTTTTTCCAAGTTGTTCAGTTGTTAATAACTACGCATTAAGATCATCTTCCCAAAATAATATATTTGTTCAACGATATGAAACTAATTATGGTAAAATAACCTCTATGAATTCTGGAACCTTGTGGAATGCCGCGCCTTTGATTATGAAAGAATGTAAAAGTATAAATGTTTTTTTAATCAAAATGTCAAGCTTATCTTTTGAAAATACGAGAAGAAAACTTTTCGCAGTTATAATGTATTTAATACACTTTTTATTTAAGCCAATTGTATTTGTCTACCTGTACTATATATCTGCTCTTGTATACAGTGTATTAGTATGTTTTTGCTGATCTATTACCCTTTTGTTTATGTATTAATATCAGTGGCGGATCCAGAGGGGGGCGTAGAGGGCGTACGCCCCCCTTTGCTTGAACTTTTGATGAATCAGACTAGACTTCGTGAACTTTGCCATTTCCCGGTCGTGTATTTAATTTTTATGCGACAATTCTTTACTTATAAAGATATTTTTCGCTCGTATTTACTGTAATATATTATTGATTATGTCAGTCATATGTTTCGCTACGGTGGAGTTGATCTGTACTTTTGAAACGTCACTCAGTCATTTTGAAATTAAAATTACAGTAACACATTGCTTAGGCGGAGGATGACAAGCATGACGCCTTCAAAGCGACAAAGGATTGAGCAAGAACGTATTGACCGTGGCTTCTATTTCATATTTCCACTCAACAGAAAGTAATACTCTATTACACTCTCGTGAAAAAAAAAGTTCCACGGCAAAATTATTTACCTACGAAAATATGTTTAACCCCACACGCCCCAGCCAATTAATAACATTGCTGAATAATGATCCCCAGTCAGTAAGCTCTAGATATATTTAAAGTCTATCATTTGATTTGATAGGGCAGTCTGAGATATTTTAGAGAAAAAATTCTTACCCTGATTTTTGCCTTAAACAAAAATTCTATCCGTATCTGTAATGAAAACAATTATCGTGTCCCCTTTTTTGCTATAAGAAAAAAAAATCCAACAGAATTATTTAGCATTAAATGAACATGGTGAATAAAAAACGGGCGTTTTTTTTTGGGGGGGGGGGGGGGGGGGGGGTTGCATGTATGTAAATCCCATGTCTGACCGGAATGTCTGTTTCGCCGAACTGATATACTGAATACTTTTTTCAAGGCCCAACTGCAACCTGCCTGCTGGGTGTGGCCTTTATGTCTCCATGTGTCGACCGTCATTCACAACTTCGTTGTCATTTGATTTTCAGACTCATTCGTAGCCGTTGGTTGATTTGGAACCCCTCACTTCCCTTGTTGAGTGAAACATTTCAACCAAACATTTGGATAAAAATTGCTTGTTTGTCTTTGTTCGTGTCGGTCGTATTATAAACTTCATTGAATAGCCGTATATCATGTTTACAACAAGTAATCTGTGAGGTTATGCTAACTAACCATACAACAAACGAGAATTTTCCATGTCCATTTTTTACTAACAAATCCCACATCAAATATATTAGTACATAGCTTTAGATCCATTCAATCATTTTATAATAGACAACTAATGGGGAGAATGCGGCATCAAAAATGTCCAACCCAAGCTTACCGGCACTTTAACTATAAAATATACATACCCCACGTTAGGAACCGTCACTAAAAATGTGCATTTTACACTTATCTTATGTTTTGTAGCCAAAAAAAAGGTCCAAAAAAATTTTCGCCTCGCTCCGCTCGGCAAATATTACATAATACGCCCCCCCTTTCTAAAATCCTGGATCCGCCCCTGAATATCTTTTAAAAATTGTGTTTTCTTATATGTGTAGATCATGTTTTGTTCACTGTGTAACTTCTTGAAAATAAAGAATTATTGATATTATTATGAGAACATTTGTATATGTTGGTCGTTGTTGAAAAGTATCAGACAGAGAACCACTTTAATAGCTGTTGTTGTTTTGGAAAATTGTTGTAATCTAACATGTTAATTATTGTGATATTCAAATTTTATAATTTTTTATTAAGGTCCGATCGAGGGTACGAGTAAATTCGGCACTTGGTTATTTCGGCACTTACAGAAAAAGTCAAATCGGCACCTGGTCAAATCGGCCATTTCGGCATTTAGCTGGTCAATTCGGCACCAAATAATATTTTCCACCTTTTTCTGCTTTTCAATTATTTTTAAAAAATTAGGGGTTGGGATTTGCTGCCATTTACGGTCCACCAGCAAACAGTGACAATGTAAAAGAGAGGCGAAAGATACCAAAGGAACATTCAAACTCATAAGTCAAAAATAAACTGACAACGCCATGTCTAAAAAAGAAAAAGACCAACAGACAAACAGACAAACAATTGTACACAAAACACAACATAGAAAACTAAAGACTGAGCAACACGAACCCCACCAAAAACTGGAGGCGATCTCATGTTCTCCGGAAGGGTAAGCAGATCCTGCTCCACACGTGGCACCCGTCGTGTTGCTCATGTTAGTTTAAACCCGGTAATAAGTCTAAATCGGTAGGTCACATTCGGGGAAAAGGGGACGGGATTGTAGTTATGACATTTGGAACATATCCGCTATCATCTGTGAAACGGATATTCCATAACGGTCAACAAACTCGTCCATAAAATTAACGATTTCAACTTCATCACTTGGAAATTTTGTTTAATAGCTTCCTTGTGAGCAGCAACCCTCTATCAAGGAAATCATTAAAGGTAATACAAGCCCTGGAATATCGTATCAACTGGGAGATATATACTCCGTATGCAGGCGCTGCTGGAATGTTGCTACATAGAAATTAATGGGAAGCTGAAATCATCTCTTTTGTCGTTAAGTTTTGTTAAATGACTTCTAGTAATTGACGTAGTGCTCATGATGATCTGTGCATCCCGTATCAACATTGTAGGTGAATGTCTTGGAAAAGTTTATTATTCAAACGTCTTACCAGGCAATCGACCTTCCATCCACTATTGGAAGGCAAATTACCGCAATAACCGGTCCCAACTATTACTGAAGATATAACAAACTTTGATGCAGAAATGGAATTTTTGTATTGGATTTTTTAAATTGTAATGAAGCTGAAATTCATATGAATTCAACTAGTGGTAACCTTTTCAAGAAAACTGTTTGATTGGCTGCAATACATAGGCGGATCCAGGGGTGGGGGGATGGATGGGGGACCCGGACCCCCCCCCTTTCGTGGGAAAAATTTGGTTGATTATATAGGGAATCACTGAAGCGTGACTGGAGCGCCCCCCTTTTAGGTCAGTCAGCCCCCCCCCCCCCCCCCCCTTTACAAAAAGTTCTGGATCCGCCACTGCAATATTTCATAAAACTACTTTAAATGGGAGATTACTCAGATGATTTATTTCTGATGTAGGAAAATACTGTAAAATAATAAATCTATTTTAGTATGTATAGCAAGCCAAATAGTAAGTCGACCAAATTTATTTTTTTTCTATTCTGATCCAAAATTCTTTTTATCTTCTCATATTCTTGTCCAAAATTCTGTGATTTTATATTTTTTATATTGCCGGTGACAATATTGGATTTCTTTGCTCCGAGTCATAATCAATACCATATATGAAAATTTAGCACAGCCTGTACTGAGCTTGCAGAAAACAAACATGCTACCCCATATATTGAGGTCTGGATGTGGGGTCCTTCAATTCTGTATTCTTTCATTTTTTAGGCCATTTTCTCTATTCTTTATATTTTAGCGCCTCATTATTCTCTATTCTTTAATTTTTTGGGGTCCATTTTTCTCTATTCTTTATAATTTTTGCCCATTATTCTCTATTCTGTAAACCCCCATCCACACCTCATATATTTCAAAATAGTACAATCTTATAAAAAAATCAATCAATCAATCAATCAATCAATCAATCAATCAATCAATCAATCAATGATAAATATTTTGAAATAGTACAATCTTAATAATATATTTGTCAATCAATCAATCGATCAAAAAGTTTGGGAGATAGAAAAAAAATGATAAGGTGTGAGGCAAGAAAAAAATGGTAATCACCAAAATTGTAGCATGAAAGAAAAGGAGATGTAGATGTTCCCTCTGAAATTGCCATGTTGATCGATGGATTGCAACTTTCCGGAATTGTGTTTTAGTCCGATCACGCTTCACATTGTTAGTTTTTGTCATGCGCAGAAGCCATCACACGTTTTCGTGACATTTGTAAATATCGAAATTCCATCCAAGAAAAGGCTATGACAATGTTTAGAACGTTTAAATATTCAATTGTTTACCTGATCTCCTGATAAACCCAAATTCGAAGAATTTTGTTTACGATGGCACACTCAAATAGACAAAAAAGTCCAAGTAAAGTGCCTAAATTTGGAATCAACTCTATCCTTGATCATTCTGAGAATGACAAAATTTTTCAAGTGCTCCAGGAAATGTTTCATGGGAAAGTTGAACCAGAGGTCGTCCACATGATTTTAACAGAAATGGACTGGAAAGGCAAGTTTAGGGGCATCATTGAATACAAAGTTTATTGTAAAACTGCAATAGACTAAAAATAATCTACCACAAATCCATCACTAGTAAACATTACCAGGTTTACAGTCTCCAATAAATTTTGCACAATTTTAATATCCCATAATTTGGGTGAGTGTTCTCAACCCTACTATTGTAAGGGTCTTCTGCTCAAAGGGTACAGTGTGTAGACCTATGAATTTGTCACTTTCAATGTCTATATTTTCCATAAAACCACATTTAAAATAGGAATACACATGTAGTCATCATGTAGTGTGGGTCATTTCTGGTCTGAATTTATTCAACTTGGAGAATAGTTTAATTGTTAAAGAAATTTGTATGTAACATTTTCATTTTCTGATAATTTATATGCATACATTACATGGCATACAAGTGTTAATTTTTGTCAGGAAATTGGTTATATTTTTCAACTAAAAGGAGAACAAAAAAATTTATAGACATAATATTACTTTTTGATATTTAGCTGATTTTGTTCCATATGACCCTAGAATTGTCTCTGATTAACATGATTAACCCTTCTGACGTCATGCAACAACCACTTCTTAATCATGATGTCAAAAGTTTTGAATGATAAGATAAGAAAATTTTATTTTGATTCGGCATACAGTGTTTAAAAACTGTACAACACAAGCTCAAAAGAGCTTTTGACTGAATATATCAACATATAAATAACATAAAAACAATAATGATAAAATATCATACATTTCAAACTTAAAATTTGGCATTTATATTTGAAAGACTTGGTTTATAGATATAAGAAGATGTGGTATGAGTGCCAATGAGACAACTCTCCATCCAAATCAAAATTTATAAAAGTAAACCATTATAGGTCAAAGTACAGTCTTCAACACGGAGCCTTGGCTCACACCGAACAGCAAGCTATAAAGGGCCCCAAAAATGACTAGTGTAAAACCATTCAAACGGGAAAACCAACGGTCTACATGGTCTAATCTATATAAAAAACGAGAAACACTTATGAACCACATCAACAAACGACAACTACTGAACATCAGATTCCTGACTTAGGACAGGTGCAAACAATTAACATGTTTAAACAAATTTGAAGTATGATAAAAATGTATCTACTAAAAATTTGGAATAAGCAGTAAGAAAAATTTACAATATAGGCATGATACATGTAGGTAAGAATCATGATACAATTTGGTATTTAAAAAAACTTAAGAAATTCATTTTAAAAACTAGCACAATAAAAGTAAAATAAGAGAATGAACAACTTTAAACATAATAAGAATTCTAATATTGAAGAAGTGAGTGATAATCAAAAACTGAATAAACATGATAAAATGAAGCATAAGCATTTAACTGTAAACAAAGCATCTGCAATAAGCTAAAAATAATATTATATTTAGCGAAGCCAGACCACAAATTTGAATAAATTGAAAAATTTGGTGTGCTGAGCATAGTTCCAAACGGGGACCAACATGACCAATGTGGCAATTGCCTCTTTGAATCGAATCTCTGCTAAATAACTATGCACAGAGACAAAAACAAGCAGATTTCAACTATCTGCAGGCTGAGCAACGGCACTTCAAACCATTCCAAGACTGAAACAAACTCTTAAATCAGAAAAACTATATTCAGTCCTAAAAAGGTTTGGCAAGCTATTCCAGAGTGGAGCGGCTGCATATATCTGAATGATCCCTTACCCAGGGATCTCAATGACCTGTTTTATAATGGCGGACCGCCATCGTTAAAATTTCTTACGCCATCGTTAAATTATCTTCCGCCATCGTCAAATGATCACCGCAATTGTTAAAATTTGTTTTCGTCTCGCTAGCTGCCGCCTTTTTTATTAGCAATAATAATCAATTGCATATAATCGCATAACCCTTAGGCTTATTGTATTATAATCCAAAGGGTCTTGAAGCCCTGAGGGATATCCGGCAGAAGATCGCTAATCACTTGTACAGGTAGATCGACACACCTTACAGGAGATCACTTGATCAAGATAGATGATTGATTGCATTATTTAATTACGTTTCAGCAAATACTAATAAAAGTTTAGATTAAAAAAAATTTTTAAATCCAGTTACAAAGAAAAAAGTTTAAAAAGTCGAACACATGCTTTTATATTGACTTATGCAATCAGCATTCCTCCTTTTAAACGAGTACAAAATAAGACGTAAAACAGAACATAGTTTCATGCCAAATAACATGAGTATAGCAATTATCAATAATATGGAATCACTTTACAAGTTTAAAAGCAAATGCATGAATATTAACTGATTAACTGCAATTTGACAATCTGAAGAAATTTCGTATCATAATTCCGAATTCATTTCGTAGTGTACAATCAAATTGATACATCCGGTTTGAATTCAGAATCAAAAGATGAATGTTGCACAGTATATTACTATGAAATTTGCAATTTAAAGTCATCAAAACCTTTTAAGTTGTAAACGTTTGCCCTCAAAATCTTTCTTCAACGTTTTACAAAACAGATACGAAACTTCTTGTTGATGCTGCAATTGTCGATACCGGTTCATGACTTCTGAATTTGACAGTGAAAAAAAGGTCCCCCAGATTTTTAAGCCCTAAACAATTACCAAAATAACAAGAAAACGACTTTGGAACCTCAAGGACAGCTTGTGGTCATTCTCATGCAGGCTTGGCATTGAAATTGTTACAAATGACAATTAATGAAAAATTTTATTACATTGATTATTCTATAAAGAAATAAACATAAAAAGCAATATATCAGTCTGATCACCATTCCTTTAATGGAAATGGGGGAATGAAATATTTTCAATCACGCCACACCGTAGACGCGGGGGTTTTGTCATGGTGAAAGTTCCTCCATCTTTAAATTTTCATCCATGGAGATCCCTGCTTATCGTATATACTAGTTCTTATCTGTGATATGCCCAGGATGCAATATTTTGCGAGAACTTGTGTGGTTTAAAGTAATGGCAGCCAAATTTGCATACAAGTGTAAATACCTCTATTGGAGAGGAAACAATCACTTAATATTAAAACAAATTTTATTCACACAATTGTGTACCTGTCAATCCCTGGTTTGTAAAAATCCAAACACAATTGCCTTCAGAATAAGTAAAATTATGTATATTTTCATTTATGAAATATTTGATACACAAGATTTTGATCTCTTCAACTAGGGGGATGGAAGACTGAAGGAGACCCCCTGTAAACAGGATTATTGTCTCCCAGAGGGAAGGTTCACATGTATGAAAATGTCTCAGTTTGTCCAACATATTTTGATTTGTTCTTCATTTTCTGTCCTTTAAAAACTTTCTGACATCCAATACTGACTTTTCCAACAAAAGAAATCAAAGCTGAAATTGATAATTACATGTTTCCTTCATTTTGATTCAGCTATAAAGGAAAAATATAAGGAAAATCAATGTCCAAGTTGGTCCAACTTAACACTGGACACCTTTTACATTTCTGTGGAAAAAAATAATTTTCTAAACATTTAACTGTCTTTTTAAGAATTTCTACTGCAGTAACAGGCAAATAAAACCTATACAAAATTTTTCAAAAATGAGGATTGGGTGGTGGCTGCAAAAGTTTATCATCAAGACTACATATTTCCATATTCAATTTTATTATACATGTACCGGTATATACATTTTTGTCTTAGAACAGGGTTCACTGTCTGTGACCTCCTTTCTTGGTTAAGTGTTTAATGTAAAGTTTTCATGGTTAGGTTCGTTTCTCAGATACCAGACCAGGAAATTCATCAGAGGACTCAGACATTTGCTGAGACAAACTAAAAAGATTTACATCATCAAACAAATATCAGACTGACAGAAAGGTTAAGAAGAAAACTAAAAAATTCTGTTTTCAATAAAATCCTTACATGTAAAAATAAATGAAACTGGTTCAGATTTACAACTTGTATACTATATCCATCGTCTTATACTCAGATGATAACAAAATCCTATGGTTTTTAAATTTTTCTCAATTTTAACAGAAAAATGGAAGGATACAATATTGAAGGATTCATCAAATATGATGGTGGTGACTAAAACGATATTGAAACATGTTTGAATTGAGATTTTAGGACCTGATGATTGTATCTGACATTTTTGTTAACATTTAGAGACATTTAGGCCTGTGAATGGCCAATATTTGTCCCACAGCATATTTATGATATTTGTTGCATTTTTGGGGAAGTTTAAAATATTTTAGCAATAGGTCAACTATATTTGATACATACATTTGTATAAAGGCTTATAAGTTGTACATGTACATGTCCATCTGACTTTGACCTTTTTTATGGGTTATTAGTCAAGTGCAGGGCTTGCTGGGTGACTAGAGCAAAGAGGTCGCTTTCCTGTCCATCTCTGCTTTTCCCAAATGCCAACATTAATTGTTCATGTTTATGTCAGCTTTATTTCTTTTCAAATACTCTTATAATTGACCTAATCCGCATTAATAATATGCAATTTTAATTTTAAAAAATTCAATATTTACTGATTAATATCAAAATTAAACGCTTCATTGTGAATTTCTCTTTACTTTCATAACATTGCATAACCATGACAACGATGTTTAAATTACAAAATGTAATTGGGTATTCATGAGGTATCGTTAGTCCAAAATAGAAGGCATCCCTCCCTTGGTTCCCTTAGCCTCACTCTTCTGCCCCTACACCCTGTTCCAGAATGCCCTTGTGCTGTTTCTACAATGCACATGTGATACTGTGGATTCATTTCTATTCGTAGGAAACCAATGTTCGTGGAATTCGTTGGTACATATGAACAACGATTCAAATGTTCAACAAGTACAAATTTTTTATAGGCTGGTACACAGACTTTTGTAAGACCATGAAATCAAATATCTATGTAAATACAATGTTTCCTTGATCTAAGAAAATAAAAGAATCCACAGTATACAAATTGCTCTTCTTTTTTTTTTTATTTCGGCCAGCAGCATAAGTTAAATGTTTTAGACAAGAAAATGACATCAGAGCAGGAAAAAATAAATCTTTGAAAACAAAATTTGAAACGATTTCGGATTTGTGTCAAAAAATTTTCTAGGTAGGCTGTATTTAGGTGGGTAGGTACATGTAGGCAACATCAAACAATTTAAATTTTATTTTTGGCCTTGTCTAAATAATAATTTAATTTAAATTTGAGAATGTGTCAGTGTTGGCTTGGGTCAGCATGTTTGAACTCCACGCCAGGGGGTTGGGGAGGGGACTTGAGTCATCCTTTTCTGTATTATTTATTTTTATACAAGTTTTCTCTATTCTGTATATTTAAGCATCCTTTATTCTCTTAATTTTTTTGCCCATTTTTCTGTATTTAATTATAATTTTAAAACATTTTCTCTATTGTGTAGCATATATATACTAACCATAAGCTAATTACAAGGACAGGAACATTGACCAATAGATTCATTATATAAGTCCCAGATTTGAGACATAACAATCAAAACAAAAACATGTGATACGTACGTACATGTATCTTCTGTTACAGTCCAAGTGCTGCTTAACCTATTCAGTGATCAAGTCTCTGACACAGTTACAAACAATGTGAAATAATATTTGCCGATTTAATAAAAACTTCATCAATCTTTATTGTCTTCATATACAGTAATACACAATATGAACATGTGAATAAAAGCCACAATGAATACACAAATAAACGTAGACAAAAAACTGAGAAGTGCCCATTACCAAACTCAAAAAGTAAACTGCCTTATACTTGCACCCTGCCCCTTTCAATTCTAGCTGGAGCACTGTTATTGGTTCAGCATTGGTGTTTTACACTGCTGCATGTGTTTTGTTTATCATGTTTATATAGCATAAGGTCCTTCAAACATTATTGTGATGGAATAAATTTAACAGAATTTTACTAAAGGACTGCAATGTTTTACTTTCCAAGTCATATTCTTTTGTAATTAGATATAAGAAGATGTGGTATGAGTGCCAATGAGACAACTCTACATCCAAGTCAAAATTTATAAAAGTAAACCATTATAGATCACGGTACGGTCTTCAACACGGAGCCTTGGCTCACACCGAACAGTAAGCTATAAAGGGCCCCAAAAATTACTAGTGTAAAACCATTCAAACGGGAAAAACCAACGGTCTAATCTATATAAAAAACGAGAAACGAGAAACACTTATGAACCACATCAACAAACGACAACTACTGAACATCAGATTCCTGACTTAGGACAGGTGCAAACAAATGCAGCGGGTTTAAACGTTTAAATGGTACCAAACCTTCACCCTTTTTCTGAAACAATAGTGTAACATCACAACATAGAAAGTCACACTATAAAATATCAACTGAAATAGCTTAACTCAATCAAAGGACATATTAACACCATTGAACATACAAATAACAAATAAATTTGATCTATGATACAATGTAAATACAAAATAAATAAACTAAGGGAAGAATAATAAAAGTAACATGTTATATCGGTAAGAAATGTTAAACAATTAAAGAAAAACAATATGCTTGAACAAAAATATCAGCCATATGCAAAAACTTTAAACACAGGTAAATGAAAATAATTTTGTTGTTATGTATACGTGTACATGTACAGTACCAATAGAGAAAGGAAATATATTTACAAAATGAATAATTTTGATGTTCATAGTACGAAGTGAAAATTTATAGTAATACCAAACACTTATCAAAGCTGGTATACATGTATCTATTAAGAATGGAGTTTTCACACACTCTTACCATATTTGTTTGCAATTTACACATTCTAATGACAAACACAACTTTTCCTGATGCATTTTTATGATTATGGCTTATTTTAACACTAGAGAAGAGTTTAAAATCATTTACAAATATTTTCAACTTCTACTTGATGAAGGAAAACAGGTTTTTTTGTTGAAAAAACAAACTATCACACTCAACTTGAAATGACAGGAGTTTCACTAGGTGTTTTCAATAAGTGACAAAAAGTTTTTTTCATGAATTGGTGTGGTGAAAAAGGGTGTGCAGATTATGTACCAATAAGGTTTATACCAGGCCAATTACGATATTAAATATGTCAAATATTCTTTGCCTAGATAGTTCATTATCATAACTGTCTCGCCTGCGAATTCTATCTCAAAAAGTGAGACATAGGAATAGGGAATCGGTGGCAGCATTAGTTAACTACTTAAAAGCTTAACAATGTTTAGTTTTTGTGGTTTGGTCTATTTCTCAGATATTATAAACAATTGCTCAACTACATTTAGTTATGGAATGATTGTAGGGTGTACGTAGCTGTCTGGCATGGTTGTTTTGACTTTGACCTCATTTTCACGGTTCATTGGTCAATGTTAAGATTTTGTGGTTTGATTTGTTTCTCAGGTACTATTAGCGACAGGACCACTATATTTGGTGTATGGAATGATTGTAAGGTGTACATGTCTGTCTGGCATGGTTCATCAGACCATGACCTCATTTTCATAGAACATTGATAATGTTAAGTTTATGTGATGCTTATAGTAAAACCTTCATATTACAGACTATCAACATTAAACCTATAATAAGATGAGACATTTCAGCATGTGCACTCTTGTCATTAGGCTCATAGGTATCTGAATTATATCATCAAAACAGTTGCAAATTATTAATTATCCATTCAGGCATATCACAGCTTAATGTGTGCAGATTTAAATTGAAAGATATATTTGTATTTTTCAGTGGATAAAGCCATAGATACTTTAATGACATTTTGTGGGGAAGGTGGCAACATTGACAGAAAAAAAAACAGACTGCATAAAATGGCACAGGAAATACTGTGTAAAAAAAATGATGAATCTACAGATGTCAGATCTGCTTTACAACAATGTGAAGCAAGGCATGAGTTAGCAAGTCCAAAAAGTCATGTGACCTTACCTTCAAAGTCACATGATGAAGAAATGCCTCCCTTGAGTAAATCAACAGTCTTAAGTGACCATGCTATTGCGTCTAACAGTGCTACATCAGCAGTTGGTCTTGAACGTCGTAGAGCTCCTCCAGCATCTTCTAGCCCACTTCAACAAATCAGAAGTGTAATGGCTTCAACATATGGAAGAACACAAGAAGTGAAAGATAAAGGGCATACTGAAGAACAACCAACTATTAATCCTTTATCTGTAGATGATGATGTCCACACAGACAGTAACCTGATATCTCAGTCTATTTTGTCAGGAGCATTACATGTAAGTGCAGTATATATATTGTAGGGTTTTGTTATGCCCCACGCTGTAGCGGTGGGGGCATTAAGTTTTACCCTTGTCCGTCTGTACGTACGAACGTACATCTGTACATCCCAAAATTGGTTTCCGTTCTCTAACTTGAGTTTGCCTCAACCAAATGTTATGAAACTTATACACAATGCTTATTACCACAAAATACAGATCAAGTTTGAATTTTGGTGGCGTCACTTTTACCGTTTTAGAGTTATGCCCGTTTATAACTGGAAAAATTGCAAAATTTTTAGTTTCCGTTCTCTAACTTAAGTTTGCCTCAACCAAATGTTATGAAACTTATACACAATGCTTATTACCACAAAACACAGATCAAGTTTGGATTTTGGTGGTGTCACTTTAACTGTTCTAGAGTTATGTCCCTTTATAAATGGAAAAATTGCAAAATTTTTAGTTTCCATTCTCTAACTTTAGTTTGTCTCAACCAAATGTTATAAAACTTAAACACAACCGTTCTAGAGTTATGGGGGTTTACAAATAGAAAAATTGCTGAATTTTTAGTTTCTGTTCTCTACTTAAGTTAGCCTCAACCAAATGTTATGAGACTTACACACAATGCTTATTATCACAAAACTCAGATCAAGTTAAAATTTGGGTAGCGTCACTTTTACCGTTCTTCAGTTATGTCCCTTTATAACTATATGCTATGCAAGCGGGGGCATCATCTGTGTCCACATGTGGACACTATCCACATTTATTTTGATGCTTCATGTCAGTTCCTTTCTATGGCCCCATCATAGCAGAGGGGGCATTAAGTTTTACCCTTGTACGTCTGTACGTCCCAAAATTGGTTTCCGTTCTCTAACTTTAGTTTGCTTGAACCAAATGTCATGAATCTTATACACAATGCCTATTACCACAAAACACAGATCAAGTTTGAATTTTGGTGGAGTTACTTTTACATTTCTAGAGTTATGCCCCTTTACAAATGGAGAATTGCAGAATTTTTCGTTTCCGTTCTCTAACTTTAGTTTGCCTCAACCAAATGTTTGAAACCTATACACAATGCTTATTACCACATAACACAGATCAAATTTGAATTTTGGTGGCCTCACTTTTACTGTTCTAGAGTTATGCCCCTTTACAAATGGAAAAATTGCTGAATTTTTCGTTCCCATTCTCTTACTTTAGTTTGTCTCAACCAAATGTTATGAAACTTATACACAATGCTAATTACCACAAAAGTTAGATCAAGTTTGAATTTTGGTGGTGTCACTTTTACCATTCTAGAGTTATGCCCCTTTACAAATGGAAAAATTGCTGAATTTTTCGTTTGCGTTCTCTAACTTTAGTTTGCCTCTAACAAATGATTTGAAACTTATACACAATGCTTATTACCACAAAACTCAGTTCAAGTTTGGATTTTGATGTTGTCACTTTTACCGTTCTTGTGTTATGCCCCTTTACAAATGGAAAAATTGGTGAATTTTTCGTTTCCGTTCTCTAACTTAAGTTTGCCTCAACCAAATGATTTGAAACTTATACACAATGCTTATTACCACATAACACAGATCAAGTTTGAATTTTGGTGGTGTGACTTTTACCGATCTAGAGTTATACCCCTTTACAAATGGAAAAATTTCTTAATTTTTCTTTTCCATCCTTTAACTTAAGTTGCCTCAACCAAATTTTATAAAACTTATACACAATGCTTATTACAACAAAACTCAGATAAAGTGCAAATTTGGGTATCGTCACTTGTACTGTTCTTGAGTTATGTCCCTTTATAACGTTATATGCCCCTTTTTTTTACACAAATATACCAAATTTTAGTTCCTAGATTGCCAGAATTTTTCTAATTTTGGTCATTTTTTTCTGTTATGAGAGTATATATATGAGACTAAAAAAATTACAAGAACATGGTTTTTTCCTTCAAAGAGACAAACTTTGAAATAAATGTACAGTGAATCACAGGACTATATATCTGATATTTTTATATTGCTAGCTAAACTGGTCAACAGAGTATCATCTCTTTCCATTCATTGTCCATTCCTCATTCTACAATTTACATTTTTATCATCTCTTCTGAAATCACCTTGCTAATTTGAAACAAACTGGACAGAAATAAATTAATACATGAAAGGTTCCTTATTAAAATTCATTATATGTTCTGATTGGATGAAAACAGAGGCAAATTTGATTAATATTTACCAATATTTGGAATCTTTTTCTTTTTATACTACAAAAGAAAAGTTTTGAAACTTAAAGGTTTACTTTGATTAAAAGACAAAACTTAAAATTACCATCATTTAATGTTACTCAGATGGCAAATATTGATGCACATACTTGAACCTTTGAGAAAATCATCAAATTTGGCAGAATTTCTCTACAAATGATCCTTATTTATTATAAATGAAACAATGTCATCTGAAGCTTAATTTTTCAGAAGTTATCTTCTATAGAGCAGTTATGGGGTAAAGGAGTAGGTCCAGTAAGGGCCGATTTTGGCCTCAAATTTCAGGTTCATCTGATGAAAGATTTTGGAAACTTTTTAAACACTTAAGTGTCTACTTCAGTCGATTCAATTAGTTTATGTGAAAGATTTTAACTGAATTAGTCATTTCAGATGCTCTAATTCAAGCTTAAATATGAAAAATCTATCAAATATGTCATAATGTGTCACTTTTCAGATGGTTTTTGTCAAAAATGAAAGTGGCCGCATCGCTGTTCACTCTCAACCTTTATATATGTTATGTAATATCATCAAATACAACTTATATTTAAATATTAAGAATGAACACAAATGCGGCCACTTCCATTTAAGACGGAAACCGTCTAAAATTTAACTCAAATTCTAAAATTGTGAAGATTTCAGTAATTTAGCATGACTTAATGATGTTTGTACCCGATATATGTGCATTGTATTGTCAAAAACAGCCCATTTTTATGTAGCAGAAGTATTATGCTTTCCAATAAATAGCTAAAAGTTTACATTGTAACAATTTTGTAAAACTGCTATATTTTGGGGCCAAAAAGGGGTTTTACTGGACTTACTCCTTTGTCATATGGAAAAGCAAGCTTATGGCTTAAAAATATTGGAAAATACTATTGTCCCATAGGATATACCAATGACACCTTCCCATAAGACATGCAATAAATTGATGAAAGCTCTGTTATCAAGAAAAATTTGTAAGGGTTCCGGGGAACCCTGTGTCTCACCTGCAATTGCTACTGTCAAGTGTACATGTAAAAGTGTAACGTTGACTTAAAAAGTGAGTCCATTTATCAGCAAAATACAGAATTTAAAACTTTTCTTTTAGATGTTATTTCTTGGTCTTGAAGATTAGCTTCTGTCCAAATTTCATAACAATCCATGAAGGTTTACAAATTTATCATGTCAAAAAAATGTAATCCCATACTGTCTGTAAATGTTAACTGTATAAAAGTAAATCCATCTATCAGAAAAATATTGTAAATGAAAAAAAATATATTTTCAAAAGTTTGCTTCAGACATCATGGACATTATCTCTTCATAAAAATTCTATGCAGGTTTGACAAAGTAATTGATGTGTAACAAATTTTAACCCATGACTGTATCTACTTGTTCTCGGAAAAACAACTGTCCATTTATCATGTTTATCAGTAAAATACGGAAAAATGAAAATAAATATTTTCAAAATTTTGCCCTGAAATCAGTGAAAACTCTCTTTTGGTCATAAATAAGCTTCTGTTTCAGTGGTTGTCGTTTGTTGATGTAGTTCTTAAGTGTTTCCTGTTTTTTATATAGATTAGACTGTTGGTTTTCCTGTTTGAACTGTTGTACACTAGTCATTTTGGGGCCCTTTATAGCTTGCTGTTCGGTGTGAGCCAAGGCTCTGTGTTGAAGGCCATAGTTTTACCTATAATTGTTTACTTTTTATACGACCGCAAAAAAACGACAGCAAAAAATTTTGCGGTCGTATATTGGTATGACGTTGGCGTCGTCGGCGTCGTCCGAAGACACATTGGTTTTCGCACTCTAACTTTAGTTTAAGTGAATGGATCTCTATGAAATTTTACCATAAGGTTCAATACCACAAAAGGAAGGTAGGGATTGATTTTGGGGGTTATGGTATCAACAGTTAAGGAATTAGGGGCCAAAAAGGGGCCAAAAATGAACATTTTTGTAACTTCCAGACATAACTTGTGTGTTAGTGTATGGATCTCTCTGACATTGTACCACAAGGTTCCATATCACACAGGGAATGCTGGGATTGATTTTGGGGGTAATTGCCTCAAAATATTAGGAATTAGGGGCCAAAAAAGGGGCAAAAAACAAGCATTTTTCTAGTTTCATGACAATAACTTGTGTGTAAGTGTATGAATCTTTCTGAAATTGTACTACAAGGTTCCATATCACAAAGGGAAAATTCGAATTGAGTTTGGGGGTAATTGCCCAAAACGTTTAGGAATAAGGGGCCAAAAAGGGGCCAGAAATAAGCATTTTTGTCGAGCCTTCGACTTTTGTCGAAAAAGCGAGACATAGCGATCCTACATTCCGTCGGCGTCGGCGTCGTCGTCGGCGGCGTCCACAAATATTCACTCTGTGGTTAAAGTTTTTGAAATTTTAATAACTTTCTTAAACTATCCTGGATGTCTACCAAACTTGGACAGAAGCTTGTTTATGATCATAAGATAATATTCAAATGTAAATTTTGTAAAAAAAAAATTCCATTTTTTCTGTATTTTACTTATAAATGGACTTAGTTTTTCTGCCAGGAAACATTACATTCACTCTGTGGTTAAAGTTTTTGAAATTTTAATAACTTTCTTAAACTATCCTGGATTTCTACCAAACTTGGACAGAAGCTTGTTTATGATCATAAGATAGTATCCAGAAGGAAATTTTGTAAAAAAAAAAATCCATTTTTTCCGTATTTTACTTATAAATGGACTTAGTTTTTCTGCCAGTTAACATTACATTCACTCTGTGGTTAAAGTTTTTAAAATTTTAACAACTTTCTTAAACTAAC